TTTTTGAGATCGTTTTACGAGCGTCGCGCGCTAAGCATGACGCGAGATCCGCGTCGTGCGTGGCCATTAGTTTTGAGACATCTTATTGCCGCTATATAACGCGCGCAGGATAATATGCGTTATTGCAATAATAAATGACTCGTTAACGTGCAAGCACGTCCGTGGCATCACGTTGAATTAATATTCCGTGAACAGAATGAGAAAAAAAAAAAAAATCAACACGTGTTTGAAACGAAAGTAACGGGTAAGACATTTAATACGCACACACACACGCGTCAAAATGTTAACCGGCGGTACGGTTCTTATATAAAGAAAACCAACCCCCCCGTGTATTCTTTTGCAACGCACTTCTTTCCCGAAGTTTTTTTCAAACCGCTCTTGTTTTCGTTCGAGAAGAAGAGTAAAAGCCGAAAGAAAAGCTATGGAATGGACGTTCACAATCACAGTTCCCACAATTGTACATTACTGTTTTTGCTTTATGTAATTACTCTAGTAATATTTTATTACACAAAAAGTCACATCACATAGCTAGGAAAGAGAGTGCAACTCGTCCAACTGGATCGTATCCTAGAGCAATAATAATAATAATAATAATAATAATCATCGCGCACTGACCTGATAAACATTTCCTCTCGCTTCGGCATCTCTTCTTTTCTCGCCGCTGGCAGTGACGGTGGAGGAAAAGGACGAAAGTGGCAGCAGAGCTCAATCAACCGCGGAAGAATCACTATTCTTTCTGTTACCCTTTTCTTTCTTTCTTTCTTTCTCGCTCTCGCTCTCTCTCTCTCTCTCTCTCTCATTCATTCATCCACTCACTCTCTGAAGAGGGACAACGGGAAGCGGGATGGCTCATCGGACGTTCGCTATCATTCTGTGTCTTCGACTAGACTGCACACTGGCACCGGAGAACCCGTTCCTCTCCCTCTTCTTTTTCTTTCAGCTCTCCGCGAACCGGCGCAGGAACACCCGAAGGCAGCCCTCGATTTTTATCGTACCAAAACGGTCACCGTGCCGCGCCATTATGAAGACCGGTGTGTGTATCACGGTGTTCACTTACAGTATGCGCGCGTAAGAAACGCATTTTCCTTGCTAACTTGGCTCGGCTAACTACGAGCTGGTCGGCGGGCTGGATCGACTGCTTGGCTCTTTCAACCGAGATGTGGTCTTGGTGCACCGCGGGACAGACTATAAGGTGGAGACAGATCGAGTGATCAGAAACAGCGCGCAATCACCGTGAGGGTGGGAGATTTTCTTTCAGCGTACGCACAACCACCGCTCCGTCGGTTCCCACCAATCGTGCTCGCCGCACAACGCACCACAATGGAGCTAGTCGACTCCCAAGGAAACTGCACCACAGACATGTTAAGGACATGTCATCAATTGCATATCCTCTATTGATTGAAACAAGATAATCTGTACCTACACACGACGCGGTGTTTTTTTTATTTTTTTAAATTTTTTATACTGTTATTTACTCATGTATTAAACGTTATTTGCAACGCTACGTAATGCTATGGTAATCGATATATTTATCATTATTATTACCGGGGTTGAGAACTGCTTCTTTTTTCTTCTTCTTCTTCTTCTTCTTCTTCTTCTTCTTTCAGCGGCGTGTTCTGATCTTCCTTTTTAGAAACAACGACCTTTTTCTTCCGTCTACGGTGCTCCTTATGTCTCCTCTCTTCTTTTACTTCTTCTCCTTGCCGGGCGAGTCTGGCTCCTGAGATCGTCATTCTGCAGGTTCGCATCATCAGTTTTTATTTTGCGACGATACCATGCTATTTTTATCCCACACAGTTCTCTCCTCTTCTTCCTCTTTTTCCTCACCTTCGTCCTTCTCCGGTTTGTCCTCACACAAAGACTACCTGCGACTATATGAGTATATTATTATACGGGACTCGAGTCCAAGGAACCCAGAAAACAGGATAAAATGATGGAAAAGTTCAAAGAACTCGAAAGTTTGAAATCTTTTTAAAAAAGATTTGAAAAATATGACGTTACAAAATAAATAAAAATAAATACAGAGACGCGCGCGTGTGTGTGTGTGTGTTTATATGATATACACTTATGGAATTACAACTGAGTTTTCTCTGCTTATTTCGGCGTGTCTTTCCGCGATTTTTGCGGCAGAATTCGCGAAAGGGTATTCCCCGCTTTTCTCGTCACCTTTTCCCTTTTTCTTTTTTTTTTTTTTTTTCTTTCTGTTTTTACAGCGGTGACGGCGCGGCGTATTACCTTTCACTACACCTTCACAACCTTCCACGGCTGCGTGATTATTAGCATAATGTTTTTCATCGTGCGTATACGCTTTTCACGAGTAGTGTGGCTTTCATGACGTGGCGACGGCAGAGCCGCGACCGGCCGCGCGCGTGCAAGACTAAGCAAAGCACTAACTCGAGAACTGGTTTCGCCGCAGACTTCTCGAGACTACCGCGAACAAAGAAGCCAATATTGTTTGTCGGCGATTTTATTAAAAAAAAAAAAAAAAAAAAAAAAAAAAAAAAAAAAAAAAAAAAAAATCAAAGCCCTTCCCCTTCTGCGTTCGCGAAAAAGAAAATGTCAGCGAACGTCCTCAACGTTTAGAAAATATTATTCCCGCAATATATTAAGAAATTGCTCTGCATCTCTTCAAAAGAAAAGCGCGACATTGCACTGTACTGTAAAAAAAAAAAAATGCTGGCCTGCAAATAAACAATTGTTCCAACGCACGAGAGAAAACAGAGAATTCGAAACATTCTGGGAATGCGGAGCGCACAAAGCGAGAAATTTAAAGGTCGGGAAGATCGAGACCTTGATCGAATAGATCACTCGCCGCAATTGAAACGAGAATCCCAAAAGGTACAATGCAACACGCTCACAGAGTGTAATCCACTCTGTTCGTGTGTGTTTGTGTGTGTTCGCTGGTGGTGGAAACCACAGTAATATTTATAGTTATTACCGGCAGTAATGATTGGAAGTAATCGCGTGGCGTCAATATTAGCCCGGTCCGGTCAGGAATAGCTCCGCTCGCTGAGAATCTCGTCTGACCACCTCTCGCGGCTTGAGAAGATCTCGGCCGGCATCTAAATTAGGGTGAACGTGCCGTTGCGGAGACACACGCGCGTATTTATATTACGATTTTTCAGTTATGACCGGTCGTATCGTTAATCGACGCACGTTTTGTTGCACAGGAGGTTGTGTAACGTTGCGGCAAATGAGAAAAACAATCGGAGGTCAAAAACACAGGATATAAACGAGATCGCGCGGGAAGATTCGCGGATTAAAAAAAAAAAAAAAAAGAAAAGAAACAAAAAAAATTTGTAGCACAGAATTGTTGAAATTGGCAAAAATTATTACGCGCGGATATTAGAAACTTTTTTTTGCTAAGAATATATCGATTTTTCTTTCGTTCTGTCGTTTGCTGTGATATAGAAAACAAGTGAAAATAAAAAAGTTATTTATAAAAGCGGAATAGCTTTTGTTTCATTATGCAAACGTACATAGTTAGCGATGACGACTTTGACAGCAAGAACACCATTTGTTTTCCGTATAATGATGAGTGTTACTTTTGTGTAAATTAGTACGCGCGTCTTGACGACACAACTGATATGTATATATATTTATATAAATTTCCGTTGCAAATCGGTGACAGTTCTACAAAAAAAATCGCTAGGAAAAAAACCACACATATGATTAGGTAATTACAATATTGTGGAAAAGTTCTGACATATGGATTTCTCGTTTCTATATCTGTATATAAATTATGTTGCGTATCTTCATAATGGATAACTATATAGTCGTGATAATAATTGAATTATGGTATATTCGATACGCGCAACTTCAACGAGCCAACCCAAAAGAAAAATGACGCGAATTTGAAGTGAATAAACAAATACAGGCGATAACAGGTTTTCAAACCGAAATTACGCAACGCTCGATTGATTCATACCTGTTTTCCTATGAATATTGTTGACGTTTGCTCCTACGAGGACTAAAAGTTTTACGATCTCACTCACATGTACATATATCTACTTCGTCATTTCAGCGAGATCATGTTGCTCAACTCGATCCCGCCAAGACCAAAGTGAGCCGCTACCCGTTTTCTCTTCCAATTAGCTTCGTTATAATTTGACACTAAAGAAAAGCAAAGAGAGACTTTTTGTAAAATAAATGAGTTTTCCCGCAAAACAATCTTCTAATTATTAGTAAACACGCGAAACACGATCTAAATCTTTCATCAAACTTTTTTTCTAAAATACTGCAGGGGGCGTGAACGGACTTTCCACGTGAAGTTGCGCTAATGATACTCTAAACAATAACGGGTATTATTTCACGCAATTTCAAACGGGAAGCGTTCCCCATAGTCGCGACAATTCTCACTGTTGATACTTCCGACACCTGTTTGATCGGTATTTACACAGCACACATCCTCCGTTGCCACACGCGTTATTTACAATATTAAAAGTCGATAAACTCAATCAAAACTTTGGAACAAATTGCCCAAAACAAAATATAATTTTAATTAAAAAATCTCAGACGCTTCTGGGAGCAAGAAAGCAAAAACATGATTTTCCAGAACAGTTATATTTGCGATATTTTGATATTTACACAGAAGTTTGTTCAACGAAAATAGATTAAATCTCACTCTCCGACGTGTATAGATATATTTCTATTCATTTGTACAAAAAAAAAAAAAACATGAAGTGTATATTCCAGTTAGAAAAATAAATGAAACTTTTTATTCAATTCTTAGTCTTTCGCAGATTATACAATTATTTGTATAATTATGTATATTTGTTGCATCACATACAGTACATATCATTCAATGCAAGATTTTATAATTTTTCACATTATAGTATTTTGGTGGTTTTGTGTGTGTGTGTGTGTATACATATGATATATATGTGTTGTTAAAGCTATTACATTAACCATTACATCAGTAACATCATTTATATCGACACATTTCGCGAGCGATATCATCAACAACGAAACAAATCTTCAAAAATCCTGGTGTAAAATAACAAATTTGAATTAGTTAATAAAACTTTATCTTTCATTGCTGATGACATCAACAACTTACGCTGAACACATTTTTTATATAGTATATATATATCTCCACGACTGAAGCACTTTTAATCATGAATGTACTCATTGTATCATTAAAAATACTTTTCGAGAGATACACAGATCATTATACTATGAGTTTAGTAAGAAAAAACCAGAATTGTGTTAATAAAAAGGAATATATGTGTGTAAAAATATAAAATTATACTTTTTTCCGCACATATATATTGATTTGAATATATATTTGATTTTAATTTCTCTTGGCGATATTTAAACAGTTGTAGATATAAGTGTGTGTATATATATATATATATTTTTTATTGTTTTGTTAAATAAATTAGCGGTAATTTTGTTTTTATATGGCATATAAATAACATATTGGAAGACGCTTGTTGTTAACGGAAAAATATACATATGACAAACTAGAGGAAAATCGTTAAATCTACTTCAACAAGTGAAGTCGGTGTCATATAAAATGGAGTTAAGTTAATCTAAACTTATTGTTCTCATTTTTGTTTACATACACAATTGTACAATGCATAAATAGTTTCTATGGTGTATATATATGTGATATAAATTATTCTCCTTTTCGAAGAGAATAAACAAACGTTACATATAAAGCACTGCATCTCTGTCAGAATTAGTGAAGATGTACACACTATTAATATACATCAAAATAATATTGTTAATGATTAATACAGAATTAATTGCGTTTAAAAATGTTATTGGCCCCATTCTGATTTCAACAACATGACAGCACAATGACACAAATCACAAATTCTCTTTTGCAAACATGACCAAACGGTATTTGTTCAGTTTGCATTTGATAATTCGTTCATTTGGTGGTGCCGCATTGTGTTTTGATACGCAATATATGTAGGCAGTTTTTTTGTAAAACGTTTAAAAAAATAGTTCATCTATTGGTCGTTCACTTTTGTTGTGCGTAATATTTATACAAAAGATCCCGTATAAAAAAATTCAATAATCGCGCAAACAAATTTTTCATTAGTGTAAAACTGTTCTCGTAGTAGAACGTACCATAGAAGGACCACAACTCTTGTTCATTTCGAACTTACTCTGTTTTAATTGCAATTAAAACTCACCATCAAAGTTACAAGCCGATTAACACGACGCGATCTGCAGAATAAACAAGTTTCGTTGTTATAGCATGCAACATTTCTTTTTATCCTTCTTGTAATTTGGTTTCAGCGGCGGCCGTTCCGACAACTGGAACTTTCTGACAATTCGCACCAATTCGTGAAAAGCCTGATCGACGTTCATCCGGTGTTTAGCGCTGCACTCGATGTACGGAATCTTTAACTGACGTGCCATGTTTTGCGCTTCATCCACCGTGACCTGAAGTCAAAATGTAAAATGGTCGAAAAAATTCGCTCGCAAAGAGTTGGAAAATTATTCTCTAGTAGTTTTTTTTTTTTTTTTTTTAAACAAGAGAAATATTTATATAAACTGGCGACGATGCTCACGAGTCTTTGCTGATCCAAATCCGCTTTGTTCCCGACCATCAGCATAGGAAACTCGTCTCGATCCTTCACCCGAAGTATCTGCTTGTGAAACTTCGTAATTTCGTCGAAGGACATGTGATCAGTGACGGAAAATACTAACAGAAATCCTTCGCCGCTTCTCATGTACTGTTCGCGCATTGCACTAAATTCTTCCTGTCCAGCCGTGTCCAGTACTGAGACAATGTCAGATTAAACTATGTGTGACATTTTGATGGAAAATAAAACAGAGATAAAGGAAAATTATTTTATGTACTCACTATCGAGCTTAGCCGGAACATCGTCGATGACACACTGCTTCGTGTACGAGTCTTCGATCGTTGGATCATAATCGGTCACGAAGTAACTCTAAAAAAAAAGATATAAATTTTATATTCTCTATCTTTACAATAAAAAACAACATCAAATAGTAATTATTAACTAATTACTTCTCGTAAACGAACTTTTGTCATGAAAATATTTACAGAACGTATCTTGGGGCGAAGTTAAAATATGCTTTTCGCTGTAATCCTCGCGCCTGTTTGTTAATCGCACGTACATAGCAGCCAAAAAAAAATTAAAGTTATAAATAGAATTCCGCGTAGAATAGATGTTTTCCTACGAAAGATTATTTCTTCGTTCTTGTCTTCTTCCGATTGTTTCTCTTTCCGCGTTTGCAACATGTGTGATATTTTTTTTAAATAAAAAAAAAATATCTCTTTACAAAAGGATATTCCTTTCCTGCGAAAATTTGTATTCCCGAATGTCGTGTGCGATCGCACCGCGGCGCGGCAGTACCGATCGTTGACAATCGCGCGCTCCGTCGTTACCCATTAAGCAAACGAGTACGCGACGAGACGCACGTACGCACGCACACGCGTACGTTACACCACCGTATCGCTCGTGATCTCACACCGTCCGCACGCGACTCGCGTCATTCGCGGTTTTGTCGGATCCGACGTTTCGCGCGGTGCTGCCGCGTATGACCATATATGACAATCGCGTCCGCGCTGACATAACACACTCTCATCGCGAGCGTCCGTATGCAAAGCAAAGCGCTATCTCGTCGTTACACAAGCGCGATATCTCGCTTCGAGACCTCCGTAATAATTACGCCTCCGTCCGGCGATATTGCGGCGAAGGTTTCGATAAAAAAAAAAAAAAAATACGTCGATGTCACAAGCGTGTCGAGCGGTAATCAAGTTTAAGGGGAGGCGAGAGAGATCACGAGACAATAACGTGAACAACAGCGTCGACGTGTGAGACACTTTCGTCGAACGCAAAGATCATCGTTTGTTTGAGATTGCAAAAGAAAAAAAAAACAAAAAAAAACACGCCGCCTACGCGATGGAAAAATCCGACTGTCGCGAACGAGCTCTCACTGTCGTGCGTCAAATTTGTATTTACTTTTTTACACGCGTCACAAGCAAGCACACGGGACACAAAACACACACAAACAAACTCTCGACTCACCTGAATGAATTGTATCGTGATCGCCGATTTTCCGACACCGCCCCCACCCACGACGACGAGCTTGTAAGTTTGCGCGTAGCTCTGTCTGTCAGTGGCTTTCGACATCTTTTTTTTTTTTTTTTTGTTTTTTTTCGGTCTCTGCGTGCGCGATCAAAGACTCATCTCTCTCTTTCTCTCTGTCCGTGTGTGGGAACGCGCGGGACTGACGGCAAACTGATAACAAAAACGGGAGAAACCCGCCGCTCTCGTCGTCGTCACTCGTATTACGTATGCGCGCCGTGTAGGCCCTCACGGACGTTTCTTCCTCGCCCGAAGTTGCCGACGCTGAGGCGAGCCGAGACTCGCGGCGGCGGCGGCGGCGGCAGCTCGCGCGACGACGCTCTCGGTCACTTTTTATGGACGGGATTCAAAGGCGAGCGAGTACGGCCGCGGACAGTTTCGCGGGACGGTCGTAGCGCGGCGCTGAGAATTTTACGACGATCTCCCTCGCGACGAAATTGAATGAGATTTTGAGGCGAACCCAAGTTTTTCTCCGAATGGCACCTCTCCTTCTCTCTCCTCCTCTCCCCGTAACGATAACACAATACTTATGTAAGCTATTACATTGTCGCAATGTAACCGGAATGTAACAGGTACACGTTCCATGTATGCAACGTGCATGTGTCAGTTGTGATTTTCTCATTCGATTTACGAACACGTGTTGTTCGCTACACACACGCTAAACATCTCGAATCGCTTTCCAATCGATCTCGATATTGATGTGGATTTTCTTTCTTCTCCCATTGTAAAGTTGCAGATGTGGGATCTTCTTGATGTATAAATTGTAAAATGATGTACAAAAGAACAATTGACTCACAATTAAAAGCGCTAAAGATATTTGAATCTTTTATCCAAGTTGGCGTTATTAAAATTGTGGAAAAAAATCCGACATTATACACACTTGCGATCACAGATTTTTATTTATTTATATATATATATATATATATATATCTTATTATACCTTTTCTTTTTTTTAATAGACATTTATAATAAATTATATATTTAATATATTTTTTACATTAAAATGGTACATCGAATCAACCGTATTCGCTTTTCAACCGCACGATAGATCCTTTTTTTTTTGTTTTTTTTTAAGTACAAAATTGAGACATTCTTAGATCCGTAGGCGAATGCGCTGAGAAGTCTTCTGAAGAATCCGTCGATGAAAAAATGAATCAGCGTAAATTAGTACGTTGTTCGAAATCATTAACACACGTGAAAGCTAATCGTCGCGCAGTAAGACAAATTCTATGTACACACGTTTTTTTTTTTTTTTAAGTATAAAACAAAATCGATATAATCTGCGTGTTCAATGTATCAATGTCTAGTGTTAATTAATTTAAAAAAACTTAGCTTATAGTCATTACACACGCTATTACACACATGTAGAAAGTTCCAAATTTTTGGCAAGAGTAGGCACAAAAATTTCGTCCCTTGTGAAGCTTCAAGTTTATTTTCCTGAGCAAAAATATCGGAGACAGATCACAAACGTTTTTTTTTGTTTCATTAAAAACGAATGCATGAGTTTGATTCGCGAGAAGTGCGTTCTGTGATAATCTTCTGACCCAACACACTTTTTCTTTTATTGTAACAAATACTTGTAAAAAAAAAAAAAAAGGAATTATAAAATTTCAGCAACGCAACTGTACACGCGCACTTTCCTCCGACTCTAGAACACGTTCGGATTTCTGTATACGGTTGTTTTCACAAGCAAAAGAGAACAAATGAAATGGTATAAAAAAAAATATTGGAATCTCTTAAATTTTTTATACAGAAAAAATTTTTGGAAACAAAAAGACTACATGTAGATACTTGATGTACGTAATAAAATGCGTGAGAGACACGAAGTCGACGAAAACTTTGAAATTAAGAAATGGATTATCACAAGAAAAAAAACAGAGATTAGATATAATAAAACAGAGTTCAGTGTTTTATATTACATTATCGTATAAACAGAGTTCGGCTTGCCACTTTCACAAAGCTTGCTTACAAATGTAACAAATAGCTCTTGTACAAAAAACTGATCAACTTATAAACACGTATTCACACACTCTGTTTAATTAGACATATGCTTTCTTACTTTTTTTTTTCTTTTTTTCTTCTTTTTTTTTTTTTTTAAATAACAATATCCGATTTGTAAGTCTCCCTATATTGCGCATACAATTGAAACATTCTCCATAAGCAACAAGTAGATCTTCAGGCGATTCCGATTTTTAATCCTAGGAAAGAGACTCAGCGAAATTCCCGTGGGATGACGAGGAAACGGAAGAGATAACACAATTAAACAAATTTATCGTTTTTTTTCGGCTACAAAGCAGATAGATATAGATTCAACAAATGTATTGAACGCAAATCTACAGAACAATCATTATCATGCGTCTCGATTCATTTGGACTAGATGTCTTAACAATTAATTAAATTTAAACAAGGATATATATCGTCGATAAGGGAGACAAGCCAGACACACACACGTATTGTTTTCGTTTTTTCTTTTTTTTTTTTGTTCGGAATTTATTTTATTCACTTCAGCTTTGCGACTTCTTGAACACACCCTGCGTAATAATAATTTGTTTAAAAATCGATAATATCTCGGCAAAACTCTCTTTCTTTTTTTTTTTTTTTGGTTTTGATATATTGCATCTAGACTGAAACAATTGTGCACCGCGATTGTCACGCGATTTTTGGTCGTATAAATAACAAATTGGTATCTTTTTTATTTCTTTTTGGTATTATTCCCATCCGCCGCAAATCATGTGTTACACAATAATAAATGAAAGAAAACATTTAAGTAGAAAATCTCTATGACGTTTAGACAAAAATATCCTTTTGTTCAATTAAGGCACCGGTGTACCTAACTTATTGATAGCTTCGAAAAAATTCGCGTTCGCTCTCTACATTTGCGCGACAGAGTCCCTGTACAGTCTTGTGAAATACCTCCTGATCAACAAAAAGACTTTATTATTATTATTATTTTTATTATAAGTTTGCGGCAATTCCTAAAAATCTTATCTACGCATTCGTCTAGTGCGTATCATTCATACATTTGTCCACAAGTTTTTAAGATTAATATTCGCATTTGCTATTTTTTCTCTCTCTCTCTCTCTCTCTCACTTTCACTTTTCTTCTTGATAAAATTTAGAATCAATCGCACGATATGTGATAAAAAAAAAAAAAAAAAAAAAAAGTTCTCTTCGCGCATGGGACGCGCGCGTCTACTTCGCGATCATCGTCAACTTTTTCTCTCGAAACAAAAGCATCGCATATATTCAATACTCGAGAGAGGAATTGCCGTGCGTTTTTTGTTGAACACTCGAAAATGAGAAGCCGAACACCGTGGAGAGACAGCTGTTTCAATGTCGTGTAAAAATAATGCAGCGCCTGTGTCATATCTCGCGGTACATCAACACACGCTAGTTTTTTTTTTTTTTTTCTTTCTTTCTTCGTATCTACATTTTTTTCACAAGTAACAAACTCAACCGCCGCGTGCAACAAATTCAATTCACGCGAGCGTTTTCTTTTTTTTTTCGTTCTACTTCCGCGATGTTTGTAATTCAACTGATTCATTTCTCGTATAGTGGCCACTTGATTGATTTTTTTTGTTTCTTTTTATCGTTAACTTAACGAGACGATGGACACAAATGACAATGACGAGATGATAACGACGACGATAATAACGACGGTGAGAGTATAATAATAACAATAGTTTTACGTGAATAATAGTGAGAATAAGAGGGGAAAAGGGGAAATAGAGAAGCGGGAATAATAATCGACATAATATTACTAATACGCAACAATAATTAATAAAAATATTATTATATTAATTACAATTAATATAATAATAATATATACATGTATGAGGGAGAAGGGGAAAGTAACGATATCGATAACGACTGATGACAATAGATAGACACGGATGATGGCCACGCACTCGCACGTGTGTATGATTAGTGAAATACAAACTGTAATGATAACAGGAATGATGATGACGATGATGATAATGATGATGATAGTGGATAATGACATAGATGATGATGACGATGATGATGATGATAATGATGATAATGATGAGACAAAGACAATGCGATGCGTTTTGGCGTTGAACAAAATGAAAGAGCAATCAGGAAACGCAACAAAAATTCCCTCAATTTTTAATAAATCTAATTAACCGATCCGATGCCGATTGGGACTCAGTTCTTTTTAATACCTAAAGAGTTTTTTTCACAAAGAATTTTCTTTTTCAAAAGGGAAGAGATAATTAAAATAAGATAATAAAATCACTAATCGATAATAACATAAGGCATTATGTGGAGGATATCGCCCTGGTAACTGGGCCTGGCTAACATCTGATGCCACTCACGAAATTCCATATCGTCAGCAGTTTGTTGGTTGTTATGCACACTTTTTACAACGTCCGACGACAATCCAAACGACACACGGTCCTCCTCGCTTCTGGCATTCGATGATCGCTTGTCATCACTGTCGGAACATGCGACAAGCCTAGGCTGCCAGTTCCCGTTAAGTCCTTCCACGCACTGTGTGTGTAACCTCTCGAGATCCTCGACGGTGACTTCCCGGGGTGGTGGCGTCGGACACGCGGCATAGTTCTGCGCCGCCTCGTCCTCGCCCCAGTCTATCGAGCTGGGATCCAAAGGTGGTAACTTCGCAAGTATCTCCTCGACCGTGAGATCTCGACGCGAAGGTGATCGACACGTCGACGACTCGCCGGTATCTGTCTGAGAGCGGTTGCTCTCGCGCAGCCTGTCCTCGCAAGACTCGGGTGAGGGTTCTCGACAGTTTTCCCTCGATCGAGATGTCTTGCCACTGCCGGACGACTCGGACGAGATCTTGTGAAGATTCTGAGAATTCTGATTTGAGCAGGACAAATACTTGGACACCTGATCACTGCTACTGCCCCGCAGAACGTCCTCCATTCGGGGTGGTTCCGCGACGCTTTGACTAGGTAGAGTACTCTCATCGCCGATGGTAATACAATCAGCAGTACTGCCACGAGACTGAAGATCGGCCAGTAGCTCCTGCGTGGTCTTCAGTTTTGGATTTCTCGAGATACTGGCCAGTTTCTCTTTGACACTATCCTCAAGCAACGACGATCGCTTTGGTAACTTGCTACCTTTCTTGCGGCCGCGTTTTTTTGGGCCAGTGTCTTCGTCCATGGCCTCGTGGGAGTTTTCCGCGAAACGATCGGAAGAGATTCGTTCTTTCAATGTAGGGCTAGGCACTTGCAAATTTAAATTACCGCTTATGTTCTCGCCGTTGAGCCGCTGCCTTTTGACGAGGCTGCCGTCCTCCGTCGTCAACTCGACTGCGTACAGTGACCGATAGTGATCCTTGCTGATCTCTTCTTTTCGTAACCTCTTATTGGAACTGTGTGTACGTGGCACCGCCTCTGTTGTGTGATTCTGACTCGAGGAACTGAGCACCGGAGATGCGTTCCTCGAGGAGGAACTTATTTTGTGGTTATTGGTCGATATAATTGACTGCTTGCTGTTCGAAGATGCATTAGGAGATCGCGAATGGTCGCTGTGCAAGGATAGCGCCGGGCTGAGTACCTGTAGTCACACATTCGTATATAAATTAAGCAAACAGTACATCATCAAGTGTGATCATAAGTTTTTAATAAAGAGGATCTTGTTACTGGCAAAATGCCATTAATCAAAATTCCTGCTAAGCATTTTAAAAGTGTAATTTGTTTACTTGATAGTACTTAAACTTTCTTTGCATGTTTTTTTTTTGTTTCTTGTATAATATTTTATCTTGAGTGTGACTCTCAAACAAATTTGTTTTTTTTTCTGTTATCTCTATAATAATGGAAAGTTATTCTGTTTACAAAATAGAAAATCTTTTTTCTTAGAACCAATACTTACTCTGAGAGGTATGGGATCTTTTAAGGACAGAGGACTGTGAGGATTCAGTCCACGTAGTGCTGGACTTTGTGGCTTTAAATTTCTCAGGGCCATTTCTTTCGCCCCGTTGAGAGCCGGTGGTGCAGTATCAGCCACGGTGGGCTGTGGCGTAGAATGGACTGATGGTAAAACCATGTCTCGCCAGCGGCGTACCAAATCCTTCGCACGCTTGGCCAGGGCTTCATTTCTCGTCTTTCGACGAAGCTCATTAATGTGTTTTCCGAGTCTTGTGGACTATAAGATCAAAGATACGTTGTAATGCATCACCAGACTTTTCAATACCACAGCTATTATAAATTTCTGTAATTATTGTTATATCAAAATAAATAAAGCAAAAACACTTGGATTTCTCCTGCTTCTTTCATGACGTATTTATTATTTCTCTGACTGTAAAGTTATATTTGTATATTTAAGTATTATTTAAGTTTGTTTTATTATATAACGTACATAACAAATAAATTATTGTGACAATAAATTGTGACAAAAATTGTTACCTCCAATAATTCTTTAGTGATTGTCGTCCTTTCCAGTGCCGAGATAACTTCCAGAACGACTCGCATGTCGCGAACCTAGAACAAGCACATATAACCATATTTTTTGTGCACACTCTCTGATTGTGTATCAACAAATTTAGAAAAACTCTGACAGATGAAATGTCTTGGCGGCAAAAGTTTTATTTTTCTCGCGCTTACTTTGATAATAAAATTATTTATCGTGCGCAGAATAATAATAATAACATTAAATATGTATGAAACAGACGTTACATTTTCAGTTGTAAAACGCTGCGTATAACCACAAGAGGTCTTCCTTAAAACAACGGGCAATATGTTTATCTATATATATATATATACATATGTAATTTTGTTTTAGCTTTTTGTAAGTTAATTATTTTTTAATGTTGCTTTATTAACTGATCGGTACTTCAAAGATCCCGAAATTGGTCGCGAGTTTTTAAGTGAGTCATCCTACGTGTGATTTTTATCTTCTAAAACCAATACACATAGATTCATTGTGCATAATTATAAGTATCTTACATTGGCAGAAAAACAATTGAAATTTCTAATTAAAAGTTGCGTCATTATTGCCAAACGACATCGAATCTGAGATGAGAGACAAATCGAGAGAAATATATATGTATATATGTGTATGTATGTGTACGTGTGTAAGTGCGTACGTGTGCGCATATATATGTACACATGTATATGTGCGTATGTGTGAAAAGGTCTTCGGAAAAGTTTTTGTAGAAAAAAACGTTAAGATAGTTAAAACGGACTTTGCGTGCTTAGAGCAGGTAGTCCGCGACCCACGTGATTCCACCGAAATGCAAAATCCGGTCGACGAAACGAAAGACTTGGACAACATGGCTGTCTTCATCCGGGAAATCCGAAGAGATTACCGTCTGGTAGAAATTTCTACGTCACAGCTTGATATGATCGAAGCGGAACGAGAAAAAAATTGCTCGCTTCGTTTCGGAAAACAAAAATTATGCAAATTCTGTAAAGCGGAATTTAAAACGGAAGCTCATCGAGAGAGGGACAATAATCGGCCGCTTGCGCGAAACGATCGACATGATCTCGGCGCAATAATACCCGATCGCGAAAGTTGCGATTTCGTCACGCGAACGAGGAAAAACCGATACGGCGAGTAAAGCGCGGGAGGCGAGCGACGATCGCATTGTGACAGACCGGAACGCGCGATTTTTTGATTGAGGTTATGTAGCCAGGTAGCCGAGAACGCGCCCGCATGTACGTCCGACCAGACTAGTTCGTCCTTTTCTCGCTTCGCGGGTTCTCTCGCTCGCTCCCGCTGCACGTATACACTCATACGTTAGCGGAGTGCGCGCGAGCAAGTGTGCGACGAGAGCGGAGAGCGAGGGGAAAGATCCTCGTCTCACACGTACATGCGGGAAGCGGTGTCACAAGGCACCGCATCGACGGCCGCGAACCGCGAACCGTCGCGGCGGCGGCGGCGGCGGCAGCAGCGGCACTTATACACACGCGGGCCGCGCCACGCTACTACACACATACCAATACAACATAACGGGCACACTCGCGCACGTCACTGGTACAGCAACACGGCGCACGGGGGATCGAGAGTGGCCCGATAGCCGTTTGCGCGTACGGACACGGAGACGGCGCGGTGTATCTTGCCGCGACACACCACACTCCGCCTTACTTACATTGTATTCCTTGTCAAGGGATTTCAACAATTTTTCCGTAAGCTCGCTGCAATGTTTCTGCATCAGGGTATCGCGCATGTATGTTCCCACAATGGGGGATATATTATATTAGGTTAAACGGAGAAAAAGAGTCCAGGCTCCACGCGTACACCGAGAGTGTCGCGAATGCGCGAGAGACACGAGGAGACTCGCAATGGCGACTAACGAACTGTAAGCTCTACCGTCGTTCTCATGCCCTCCCTGCCTCCCGAGTGCCTCCTAGTCGCGGCCCATGCATCGTCCCTACCCCCACCGCTGCCACGCTCGGCCCTCACTAGCGACCCCTACTCAGCCGCCGAAGATTGCCGAGCGCTTACGAACCATCGTTCCGTCTCACTCCCGACCGTTAGACTTCCTTCCCCCCTCATCCCGTTCCGTACCGCGCGACTCGGCCATCTCACGCCATTGGCGCACTTTCGGTCGTATTCGCGTCAGTTCGCATTCGGTGCGCACGACTCGCTCGGCGCTGCTTGACGCGATGAAACGGACGCGACGTCACGCGCAAAAGATGGGCAGGGAGTGTGTGTTATTGTGTGTGTGTGTGTGTGTGTGTGTGTGTGCGCTCGCGCGCGCGCGCGCTCACACGTGCGCGTGTATGTGTGGCATATCGCAGCGGAGAGACGCTTCGAATAAATTGCACCGAGAGATCTTTGTCGAGTTCACTGTCACGTTGTATATTTAGCTCGAAATGCAACTGTTCCCCCAAAACTTACATGAGATACGATCCGCGTCCGATGAGTAGCGATAATTTGCTATCAATTGGATCGCATCTTGCCCAAATCGCTCCCAAACGCAGCGTGTGTAAGAGAGAGTTAATCATATTCGATTTTCGATTAGCAATTTTCGTCTACACATCTCGAGGGACAAAAGGACTTGACGACCGATATCGCGTTAAATACCACGTTTGCTCGCCTGACATTACACAATTCCGATTTCAATGCTCACACGCCGATGAACTGATCAATACCTTTACCTACCTACCACCTCGATTTCGTCAACATGTTACACCTGTAAAAAGAGTGTGCTTTAAGATACATATTGTCATGATTTTCAGAAGAAGGGAAACGAAACCAGCGTAACTTGGTTCGCTCGGTTCCACATCCGGGTCGATTCGACGATTTTGCGGAAAGGAAATCGTTTGTGTTTATTTTTCATCAAAAGTTCCGATCGAGTGAACGTCGGAAAATCGCAATTCTTAAGAAAGCACAGCGAGACCTCTCGAAATATCAGAAAACCCATTATCTCTGTAAAACAAACGTCGATCGTAAGATTATTATGTCTTTTTCGGGAAAACACGTGATTATTTTCCAAGTAAATTGTACTTTTTCGCGTATCCTCGAAATATTTCGCTATCTAATCTAATTGTACGTGTATATGTATACGTATACATATATATATCTTCCATACACACACACACGCACACACAGAGGTTCAAAGGCTGAATAATGGAACGAGACTACCTAACGAGATTATATGTGTTGAGGGGGACGCAAAGTACTTTCGAATACAACAGTTATTTGACATATTTTTCCGTCCTGGTTAAACATCGACGCGCGGTGCTAATTTTTCAAGCACCTCGCCCTATAAATCGTGCGCGAGTTTCCTCTCTCCCAGCTGCTAAAAAGTTCGTCATCTCTCGCGATAGATAGAAAAAATCGCCTGGTCGAGGCGTGAATTGTCCGACATATGTGTGTGCCAAAGAACTGATTACACATGTATATCACAGTGATGTAATGAGAAGCGCAAATAAATTAAAATGATATATCAGGTGAATCGAGTTTCATTCTTTTCCTACCTACCACATTAGTCAGCGATAATTACAAAAATTGTAAAATGACGCGACTAACTCCGCAACGTAACGTGAGAGATATTTTATTTAATATTCATAACGTGTAAATTAATTGGTCGACTCGGTTGTGTACTGAAATTGCATGATAATCATCGAATTGCGTCGACACCATTGAAATCGAAGTCGACGATGGAAACTTTTCGTGATAATTCACGAGATCGTCCTCGCGAAATATGACATCGGCTGCGTTCAGCAGAACTCAGCGCTTAGCAAGCGCTTTGCTATTGTATCGCTTGCCATTGGCTTGTACCTTCATATAGTTCCAATAGATTTTCTGCTGAACGCAGCCATTGACGTGTTCCAAAAAAAAACAGAGCGGCAAACTCGCAAACATGTTCAGAGACTGGCGTAAAGTCCGTGTCGGACTGTGGATCGAGATTGAATTGAAAGTTAACCAATCACACACACACAAATCCCTCGCGTTATATTAGCTCGGTTAACGCCCGTTTTCACCATCTCCAATTAACTTAATCGGCGATTAAGTATCAGTCGTGATTGGTCTAGTGCTGCTAAACGATTCATGCGACTGGCATTCCAATGGAACAATCGGCCAATTAAGTTATTCGGAGATGGTGAAAACAGGCGTTAAGGTCTGGTTTTAATCGACATTTAAGTTGTTTTCACGAGCCAATCACAGTTAGTGCTTTAGTGCAAACCTGCATCTTCATTGCGCTTCGTCTTATCTGATCTTGTTATCCCAAGGTTGAAAGTGATGCTCGCGGCGCTGTTCTCATAGCGCGTAAATTTGAAAAAAAATTATTTAAATTATTTTTTATCGATGAAATGTGATGATGTTGTTCGGAAATATCACTTAGATATACCTTAGGAGGTAAATTTTCCACCTTGAAATTTCAGGGTGGATTCGAGTATATCTTCTGTATTTGGCGGGAATTTGCGCACGTATATGGGTGATAGCTCTTCGATACGTAGACTGCGTTCCGATATTTACTGCCAGTACTGAAAATAATCTAAGCACATGACGTGAAGTATAGATTTTTAGTACTTAGGCAGTAAATATCAGAACATAGCCGACAATAACATATATTTGTTGTTTGTAAAAGAAATAGACAATTGAGAATATAACAATGGAGAATAATAATCTTGTTCAGCTATAGCACAGGCTACTGTAATTTTTCTTTGCTTGTGTCCATCATGTTTTTTAGTTGCCGTTCGAAAGAAACCTTCACCGGTTCTACAAACCAACTTGGACTTCGGAAGCTCGGACTGAATTATGATAAGATATAAAATATGGACTTTAGCATATGAATGCAGAATATTAATATTGACTATATTAATGTTTGACTATGAAAAGAAACGAAAAGAAGAAGTTTGTTCACTTGTGCTTTTTCCATATATTTTTTTCGGTTTCCTCTTCTCTCCAAAATGCGGACGCACATCTGTCTCATTTCATCTAAGTGCAAAAAGTGTAAGCAACACGAACAGACCCGAGTGGACTTTAAACGTAGAATTCTGCTTTATCATTACCACTTATTGATAAGAACAATAAAGTAAAAAGAATCGACTCCGACAACACGATTTAGCTGACTTGCCGTATGTCGAGAAGTTCAGAATAAAATCAAAGTCACCGTAGAAAAAATAAGATATAAAAAGCAGTCTTCCGTGTACTGTCAGTCAGTGAAATTTAAACAGTAGTAGTTACTCATTTAATCTGTTCTTGTTCACAAATACCTGATAAAATGCCAGGACAATTGCGTTTTGATGATAAAGTGGTTGTAGTTACAGGAGCGGGTGCAGGTATAAATATTGTTTTGTTAATTGCAAAACTATTGCTAATAGTAAAAATCTATTCTTGAATTTTTCAAATATAATGTAGAATGAGACACAAAAGTTTGAGAGAAACAAATGTTGTTCTAGGTTTGGGACGAACTTACGCATTGTTGTTTGCATCCAGAGGTGCCAAGGTAGTTGTGAATGACTTGGGAGGTAATAGACATGGAGATGGAAGCAGCACCAAGACCGCGGATGCTGTTGTTCAGGAAATTCGACAAAATGGTTTGTATCTTATTATCTGAAGTGTGTAAATTTGATGGAATCACTTTATAAATTTTCAAGATAAGACAATAAACAATATGGAAATAATTTCTTAGGAGGAAAAGCTGTTGCAAATTATGATTCTGTGATGGATGGTGAAAAAATCATAAAGACAGCAATTGAGGCGTTTGGTCGCATAGATGTGCTTGTTAATAATGCAGGTATTTTAAGGGACGCATCATTCATGAAAATGTCGGACGCACAATGGGGTATGTGTAAATTAAAACAGATAATTTTCTTGTTATTTATAATATTTCAAATGTCTCTTATTTATACATTAGTACATTTCTTTCAGATATGGTACAGAATGTCCATTTGAATGGTGCTATGAGAACGACACGTGCGGCATGGCCGTATTTTATGAAACAGAAATATGGACGTGTAATTTTCACCTCGAGCAACAGCGGTCTATATGGAAACTTCGGACAGACCAATTACAGTTCAGCAAAAATGGGTCTTGTGGGATTAGCCAACACACTAGCTATTGAAGGTGGAAGAAAAAATATTTTCACCAATGTAATAGTACCCACGGCTGCTTCGCGTTTGACGGAAGATATTTTCCCACCAGGTGAGCTCTGATTGTTTAGAAATATTATTTAATTTTGCAACCATTGTGTTACCATTGTTGTAAAATTGTACGCACATAAGTTTTTAAGTAAAATGACGACGTATTTGATGTTTTGCAGAATTCTTTGAGCAGTTTAAGCCTGAATTGATAGCACCTGTTGTTTTTTGGTTGTGCCACGAGGATTGTAAGGAAAATGGTTCTATAATTGAAGCAGCATTAGGCTGGGCTGGCAAATGTGAGTATCAATTTTTATAATCAATTTTAAAGTTTTTTAGGACTCAATGAAACAAGTTAATTTTTTATTAATTTAAGCTATTATCTTACATAAACTTATTTTATTAGAATAATTGCACGAAAACACATTGTAAGAATAAATATAAAACGTAGTAAACTTAATATTGCAGGTCATTTAATTCGTTCTTCGGGTGCTATGTTGCGACAGTCTTTATCAGATAATGTTACACCAGAAAACGTACAGGAAAACTGGTCGAAAATAACCGACATGACATCGGCAAAAAGATACAACTCAATCGGGGTGAGAAATTGTTCATATATTTAATTACATTGCGTTTAATTTTATTGTTTAAGTGTATTTAATTTAATGATCTTTTTCATTTTGTATTTTCTATTTAGGAAGTGACAGGAGATTTGGCAAACGTCATTGAAAACCTGAGGAACGGACCCTCTTCAAAAGAGGTAAGTTAACTTCGTAAATATTTTTTATCAAAGCGTTTTAATTCACATCATTTTCTATTACGTGCCAAAGTGTGCGATTGCTGCCAAAGTATTTTTTCACTTTGCTTGCTTATTGGCTTACAGGAGGAACAGAGAAGCACCTACAACAGTCGCGACATTATATTGTATGCGCTTGGCGGTACGTTCAGCAAACTGAATATGTATGATTGATTCTCCGAGTTATGATTTACATTTATAATATATTGGACTATTTTCAGTCGGAGCTACAACTCAAGAACCAACGGATTTTCGTTTTATATATGAAAATGCCGATGGATTCGCTGTGTTTCCTACATATTACGTTACATATGGAACTCAAGGATTTTTTAAAAGTTCTGTTGCGCAAGACATACCTGTAGACTTAAATGATCCTACACGGGTATAACGCAACTCTGTTATTTCAATTTTTACTGATTGAATATTTTATTTTTTACATACATACATATGCATACATATATATGTAAATTCTGATTACTCGCAGATACTTCATGGCGAGCAGTATCTAGAAGTTTTCAAAGAACTGCCTACGGAAGCTACCGTAGAAACGCGCTTTACGCTACAGGATGTCTTAGATAAGGGAAAAGGCGCTGTTGTTTTACTCAAACGTAAGTAGGAAATTTTTATTTAAGTGAATAAATCTCAATATATTTTGAATAGAACAACAATCTCATGAGTGTCTTATTAATGAATGACGGATATTAATCCGTTTTGTAGACGACACTTACGATGTGGCAAGCGGAGAAATACTATCGACCGGACAGATAAGTGTGTTTGTCATTGGCGCTGGTGGTTTCAATGGAAAACGAACATCACCACACAGTATTCCGACCATTGAGCCTCCTGCTCGAAAGGCAGATGCAACAGTAATACAAAAAACTAATGTCGATCAGGTAAGAGAATACAAAAAATCCTCTCGTTCGTTTATTAAAATCAACGGATCGAAGGAACAAACGTCTTACGTTCGCTTTGGCGTATTTATCTTTGCAGGCTGCTTTGTATAGATTGAGCGGAGATCTCAATCCGCTCCATATGGACAATACTATTGCTATGTTAGCAGGACATGAGAGACCAATATTGCACGGGCTCTGCACCCTCGGATTTTCCGCTCGCCACGTTCTTCAAACGTATGCTGCCGGAGATCCTAGCTTATTCAAATCTATTAAGGTAAGAGTTTCAACAGAGAAATATCGCTCGCAGAATTTAAATCTAAGTTTTTTTTAAAATTTAAGTGTGTTTCCAAGATTTTAATCTAGCCTTGGTAATGTTTATTTCAAATTGAAACAGATAAGACGTTCTAGTTATTTCTACATAGCAATTAATATTATCAAGTTATTTTGCTTCATGGTAGTAATAAAAAAATTCTAACCGAAAAGTAAGAACTACTCAATCGAAGTAATATATTTTTCGCAATTTTATTAAATTTGCAAAAATTTTTTAAATGAAGGTTTTTAATTAGGTTTGTAAATTTTATAGTTTTATTTTCTGAACACTTTTACTTATATGAAACTATCAAGGTTAATACACGATTATGGAAAAAAAAAGAATAAAAAAAAAAAAAAAGAAAAAACAAGAAAAAAACAAGACAATATGACTATTGACTTTTGTACTTCGATCATCATCGCAACGACACGTGCACAGAAAATATATAATTACAATATGTATAGGAAGTAAAAATGGTAGTGGTGGTACATGAAGTAGCTCAACACTACTATATATTCCAGACGGCTCGAGAACACATTCGTTTTTCGCGACTCATCGTGAGATAGCGTTTCAAAGTCACGGGTATATAAATCGAATATTACTTACGATTATTTGACATGTGTGTCTGTTCACGCGCAGAGATTAAATTAGAAAAAGCAGAAAAGAGAAAAACTAGATGATCTGTGAAAAATATTATATAATCTGTGATTCTCGCAACGATAAAGTGATGTTTCATTAGTGCTAAAGTGCCAAGTACATCACGTACAACGTGGTTAAATGTGGAAATTACGTGATTTACAAAATATTTCACAATTATTTTTATATAAAATTCAATTTTCAAATCAAGAATATGATCTCCGGATTGAAAAAAAAAAAAAAAAAAAAAAAAAAAAATCTCAATATCTTTTGTCGCTTTTTTGCGAGAAATTCGCAAAGTTAGATTGATCCTTTAAAATTTTAGGTGAGATTTTCAAAACCATTCCTGCCGGGCCAATCAATACGTACTGATATGTGGCGCAATAATAACAGGATACATTTCCAAACGTCTGTCGTTGAGACCGGAGTGCCAGTTATAACAGGTTGGTCATGTGTATATTTGATATCTTTTAATATCCTTCGACAAAAGTAAATAAACAAGTATGTAATGCAAAATATTTATATTTCATAGGTGCTTATATCGATCTCTTCGATGTTAAAACGGGAATGCCGCGAGTAAATCTGTGTGCCGCTGAAGAAAATATTCAGAGTAACGCCGTATTCGCGACTATCGGTGAACATGTGAAAGCAAATCCGGATGAAGCGAAGAAAGTCAATGCGGTCTTTCTTTACAACATCACCGTCGATAAAAAACCAGCAGTGGAATGGAGTAAGTAGGTTTAGAAAATTTCTTTAACACACCGTGTGTTCTCAAAAATTGAAACACTATCTTATATCGGATGTTACAATATCAAACGCAAAAACAAAAAAAAACTAGTGCATAATTCTTGCATCTGCAATCATGTGAGTAATTCGTGCTCTTGGCAGCTCTCGATATGAAGAAGGGTGAAGTGTACAAAGGAAAGCCCAAGTCCGGGAAACCAGACACGACCCTCACTATAGAAGATAAAGATATGATTGAAATTGTAAGTTGTGTATTTGTGCAATTTGCATCTGTAATTTTTATGTAAATCACACGAATATTGCAACGATATTGTTTTGCAGGCACTGGGAAAACTAAATCCACAAGTGGCGTTTATGCGTGGAAAGTTGAAGATAACCGGCAACATTATGGTCACGCAGAAATTAGCAAGCCTAATGGAGGCAAATAAATCGAAGTTGTAGTTATCGCCATTGTTATTTTTAAACAAAATTTGAATATATATATATACCATGGATGAGGGTATATGTTTTACGCGTATATGTATACGTGTAAATATACGTGCAATATATATACACATATACATGTATAATGATATATATACAATATATATGCACACGTATAGGAATATATAAATATATGATACAAAAGGGAATATTGTTTTGTATGGAATAAATTTTTATACAAAGTGAAGTTGTTTTACGTGGGAAAGAAGAGTTAAAGTTTCGTTATTTTATAATATCTACATTGTGATACATTTGTAATAAAGTTGGTCATATACTTGGAAAATCACAAAAGGTCAGAAAAAGGCAGATTGCAACAGGTGAAAAATTGTACAACCGTTGCTAAAATGTTGGATTTCTGATTTGACTTCAATATATATATTTAAAAATATACACATCTATCGCTTTATTTTTTAATTCCGTCAGAATAAGAAAGATCAAATAAACGTTTATTTTTTAGATATTTATCTAAAAGATTTATATTAAATTATATATTATATATATTATATATATATTATATATATTATATATATATATAATTCACAAAGCACATATTTACACGACGCCAGAGAACTCTGGTTTATACGCAAAGAAGACAGAGCGCATCGGGAATATTATTACGAATGGAATGTACAAGAAAGACATGAAAACACGATGTGAGAAAAATCTTTGGCATAACATCGATCTTATAGCCTAGGATTAGTTAAAAAAAAAAAAAAAAAAAAAACTAATCGTATATAAATCATAATCAGTAGCTGACACTTCAGAGGATGCAGCAGAGCTTTCGCGACGACGGTTTCTTCAGCACGGCTCTAATAGCTTCGACAAAAACGTCCTCGAGACCTTCCTGTTTTATCGCGGAACACTCGACGTATTTCACCGCCTTGATCTTCTTTCGCATTTTGTTGCAATCTCGCGGACTGATAATATCCATGTTTTCTTGGTTTCTGAGATCCGCCTTGGTGCCTAATAATAGAGAAATGTATATATTAAGACACAGAAGACTCTTCTTGCAAGACTCTTTTCTTCCATATATATACTCACCCACAAGTATAATCGGCACATTGGGACAGTGCGCCTTGATTTCTGGATGCCACTTGCTCGCCACGTTCTCGAAAGAGCTACGAGAACTTATGGAAAAACATACCAGAAAACAATCGGTCTAGAAAACAAAAAATAAATCCAATTAGATTTGGATCAAGATCTATACGGTAAAAATATCGCGGCAATTTTAATGCCTACATTCGGATACGAGAGTGGTCTGAGACGCTCGTAATCTTCCTGACCGGCTGTATCCCACAACGTCATTTCGAACTGCTGTCCACCCACGAGTATGTTATCAACGTAGTTATCAAACCTGCGCACAACAACAACAATAATATTCAAATACAAAATAGTATCTATAAAACTAGAAAGAAACATATGAAACCAACAGATCTCGATGTCAAAAAAAAAGAAAATTGCTCGACAAAAAATTCATAAGAATTTTTTTTCACTCGCGATATCAAGTCAATGTATGTACACATATTGACTTATACGTCATGTGACTGCAACAAATACCTGACGGTCTTACTCATAATGCCGCGCGTTGCGACGCCGTGCAATACTTACACAGTTGGTACATATTCCGTTGGAAATTCTTTCTTTGTATACGTGATGAGCATACATGTTTTTCCAACCATCCCATCGCCAACGGTCGTGATCTTGATCGGCCTGTTTCGAGACACCATCTTCGTTTCTTCCGCAAAATACTTCTGCAAATAAATGAGAAATTATTTTAGTAGATCATATTTTATGTAGATTTTACAGATATTTCCTTTTTTTTTCGAACGTCTTTGTAAAATACAAAATTACTGAAAAATAAAACACTTTCGGTCTGTTAGAGCTAAACAAAATTTTGTTCTTCTTTTATTTTTATCAACTATTTGAAAAGATGCGATAGTTTTCTCTCGTGTCAAGAGACGCGCGCGTCAAGTGCATGTTCAATGCGATACGTCAGGACAGACGAGTGTCCTTTACAGGAAGAAAGACAGTTCCTTAAGCTGAAAGAAAACAATGAGCGCATCCGGCCGCTATATGGCGCCAAGGCTGTCACTGTCGTTCGCATATCAATGAATAAGAAACAATTCCGATGATAACTCCGGTCTTATCATTACTTGTTTAACGGTATTTTTGTGTAAGAACTTTAACAAAACACATTGTTTAGTACATAGATGTAGTGCAACTTTAAGATTTTAGAATTTACACGTATCGCAATTCGAAGAGAGAATTCGAAGAGGATTTTGACTAGTAAGTGTCCCACTGACCGGACATTTAAAAAGAAATTAGTAAAACCGATATTAATCAACAATAGTTCTCAACATCTTAAGTATTTGTTTAAGATAATTTGTTTTTAATTGCTGCTTTACGCATAAATATTTTTAAATAACTTCGTTAATTAATATTCAATAAATGTCCGATCATCGGGACATTCGTCTCAGTCATGAAATTTTTTATTTGCACAGTATACATATGTATACCGCTGTCGTTGACTTTCAATTTCGATAAAGCGACGTACGTGTGTGTATTTTATTCACCCAGGACTCTGGAACTTCCGTTAAACGGAACTTGCTGGTGTTTCTTATCGAGCATACCATGGTCATTTATCACCGCGCCATCCGGTCCAGTCTGATGATCTGCCTGAATAGTAACGCCAAGAATTGATAATACACCGTGATAGTCATTATCGCGGTCCATTTAACGCGTTTGTCAAAAAAAAAAAATGTAATTTTACAATGTGACAGCTCTTACAATTTTTAAATCAAGAGAAGCAACGCGCGCGGTTGTCGAGTCCGGAGCGTAGAGTTCGTGCGCATCGAGGTATGCGTCCGCGTTGGTCCAAATTTCTGCGCGTATTTCTGCGCAAGCGTTTTTTTTTTTTCGAATTTGTTAATTATAAATAATTGTTTGGAAGATATTATACGAGGCAGCAAATTACAAAGGGGTTTTTCTTTTCAAATTAGAAAGATTGCGATCGCTGAGTAAGTATTGACACAAGAACTGGAAGTATACTCCCTGAAAATGACTCATTACGGGATGTGACAATTGTTTAATTAAAACACGCGTACGCAAGCCGCGCGGAGTCGCGTTTCCTAATTTGTGTTACGACCCGCCCCTGTGACATCGAGGTCAATATACTCTCGTGTGTGACAACTTGAGTTCGCGTGCCACGCCGACCACCGCGCGTAGGAGAAGATTATAATCGTATCTGTTTTCTGCAGAGTTTCTGCCGGTTTTCATTTTTCCACGAGTTTATCGTTTATTTCAATTAAGAAAAACGGAACAACATTAAACAATAAATCTATTTTCTCTCTTTTAATAAACGTTCTCAAAACTCATCGTTGGCGATCAATTTTATAACCCGGTAATGCGAAAACAAATCATCCTCTATTATCTAATAAACGAGCTTGTACGGTATATTGTGAAAAAAAAAAAAAAAACGGGCCGTGACAACGGCGTGTGAAAGTTGATTATGATTATTATTTCTCGGCTCTTGTTTATCTTTCCTTAATGTTCCTCACCACGACACATGTGCCGAGCCTAAATAACGCGCGCGATCGATCGGCTGCGTAATGAACGTAACGAAGCGGTTTACATATGAACATCGATGCGTGTGCGCACGAGTTATCGCACGAGTTGCGGTGTCGAGGCGCGACGGAAAGTTAGAAAAAAAAAAAATATATATTTTCTATATCTACGCGAAGGGATGTGAAATCCAATAAAATGACGCGCACAAGACTCGCACACCCGATGCGCCCGGAGGTGCGGTGGAGTCCAATCATATGAATTCCGATTTTTTCACGACCTAGTGACGGACAATGCTTCAATTTTTCTTTTTTTGCACATAAAAACAAGTTGAACACTCTGATGTTTAATGACCTGAATAAATATTGCGCCTGTGCAATGATCTCTTAGCGTAACTTATCTCTTTGATATACAGATAGAAAATAGATTCGCCAACCCCGTACTGAGTTCTTTCCTCGAAGAAAAGATTTTGACGGAAGTGGGCGTAGACAAGAGGTGTTTAATCAGCGAATTGCGTGATTGCCAAATGATTTTGATTTTTTTTCGGGACGAAATCTAGGGCACAGTATTGCGCGGTCACTTATCTCTGTTCGTCGTCCTGTTTTGCGCAAGTTTCTGAAAAATCAGTTAGAAAAGCTCAACTATACGTTACGCAAAGGATCGTCGGACAAGCATTTACAGAATGTCTCAAGATTACACGAAACACAGGATAAAAAAAAAAAAAACCAAGAATTGATAAAAAAAGAAATAAAATCACATTTCTAAGAAAATACGATAGAGCGTAGATATAAAATAAATAAAATGCGGAATAAATTTTGTTACATTGTACAATTTTTTTTCTTGTACTTAAATTCAATTGTACGTGTATTCAGAACGTTAACTTAAAAAACTACACGTTAATTATATATTATATCAAATGATAAAGTTCGCTGAGAATCATGAAAAGTGATAAAGAGATAAGATATACTTAAAGAAAACAGATTACACGCGAGAACCGGCTTGATCTAATCGCACATTATTACTGGAATTTGATGCACATATAAAAGACCTTTGTTGTATAATGTCTCGTGATCGGTCGCTAACGTCACATCCAATTGCGTTTATCGCACGTTGATTGTTTATTAACGCAGGCTTTGTAAAATAAACAGGTTTCGAGATACGAGCGATGGTCACACCTTAACGAAGAGAGAGTCGGGAAAGTTACGCGCCTTTGAAAATATATAATATACAAAAAGCTTGCGCCTAAAAACCAGAATTAGACACATAGAAACACATAAAAAACGTACAATAAATCGCACCAAAGTGAGAATATTGTAAAATATCATAAGCGTGTACTTCGTTTTAGATCTTTTTTATACTCAAAAGAGAGATATTTACTCTTTGTACTTCGAACAGTCTTTTTTTTTTATTATATTATATTTCCGCACACTCTCTTCTTTTTATCGTCGCAATGTGTAAACACAATGTAATTTTCCCTTTTTTACAATCGAGCGAGCAACAACAATGTGACAAAATTTAAACTCACCGTGAAATGTTTCGTCATGCGTGAAGAGAACGCGCGTTAATCACTGACACGGTGAGCATTTCGTATATTCGGTAGAAACGTTGCCACCGCGCTACGACCTCATGGTTCGTAATCGTGATACCGAGTGCGGCTCGGTAGAAGAAAAATAACGGATGACGCGTGTCGCGCATACGCACGTCGTCACGGTCGTTTCGAGACTGTCAAAGACTTTGTTGCAGAAACGCGCATGTTTGCGAGTGTTGGCACACAACACGCGGAGGTACGAAAAAAAATCAGCTGGCGCGGCGAGTGCGGACGAAGAGCCTGCAACAGATAGGCGCTCTGATAAAAAAAACAATAATTTTATATATGTAAAATATAATATTATATTACATAAAAGGAATATTTGTATTATACATGTAATATGTAAAACTTATATATAAACATATATATATACATATATACTGTATAAAATGTATATACTAGTAAATAAACTTGTATACTAATTATAAAACATATTTTTTTTTTTTTGTTCTTACTCGTGTTTCTGCACGCAACTCACGTTAATTGCTATAATTGATGATCACGGTCTGAACAACTGACCGGGCGCGTTGATTCTGCGGCCTCGGTTGCGAGATTCGCAATCTCGGGATCTCTCCTCCCGTACGGGTTGGACTCGACGCCCGCGCCGGTTTCGTGTGATCGTTCTGCTCAACCGGTGAAAAATAATTCGTCGACCCAGACGGTCCCGATTCGAGCGGAAAATTCCCGATACACGGGAGCTAAATAAAAGACATCAACTTCTCACACAAGTGGAAAATATCTGAAACAATATTTAGAAGATTGACGAAACAATGGACGATTAACAAAATGTTTTTTTTTTTTTACCTGCGATAGCTTTGTGTTCATTCTGTTTTGATTGTTCGCCACATTTTCGTTCGTTCGCAACAATGCGGCGCAACGCCAACAGTATTAATACCTCGACAACCGAAAGGTTTGCAACTTCGTGTATCGAAATCGCGTGGGGCCAACTTCACACAGATTCACTTCGATTGATTGCAGCGCGCGCGCGCTCTCGCAACTATCGATATCTCCTCGAAGCGCGATTCACTTCGTTAGAATTTTATCATTTGAACTTTTCGCTAGTCGCGCACTTTTCTCTCCGATTGATGAATTTGAAAACATCGATTCGAAAATTTCTCTGTGCCGCGTTTGTTCCGGAAGCGTTTGATAGTAGAACGTACGCGAATATTCTTTTTTCTACACAAAATCATTTCCGAATAAACACGAAACAGAGAAAATGGAGAAAGCCGCGAGCAGCGAGGCAGAGGCGCGTTCTGTTCACAATGAGATCGACGTTGGCTCGGAATCGACGCAGATCAATTCTTTCATCAAGCAGGTGAGGGATCTTTCTCGAGCGAGAGAAAAGTACACAGCGATATATATATATATTTCGCTTTTTTTTTTTTATTCCAGTACGTAACGCTGAAACAGTCGCTCGAGAGATCCAACAGGAAGGTGCGACGCTGGGAAAGCGAAACGTGCAGGTTGCTTAACAGCAATCGCAACATTGAGATTAAACTCGACAAGCTGATGCAAAACGTGTCTGACACGAACGCGAACATATCGGCGAACGTGAGAGATCAGAGCGCTAAGAAGCAAGAGTTGAGAAACTTTCAGAGCGCGCGAGCTGATCTGTCTCATAAACAGTGGTAAGATGTGTTTTTGTTTTAGACAAAAAAAACACACACAGAGTCGAAATAATTACATCTCGCTCGTCTCTTCCACCGTCCGCTGTTGCGGACGTTCGTGATGCAAAACTAATTGTCATGAAATGCTTTTGCTTATTGTTTCCAGGAACAACAACTTGACGGAAATAGGAAATTACGCAAATGATTTTTCTCAGTGGATAACGGAATACGTAGGATTTTTTTGTTTTTTTTTCCTAAATGTCGCACGTGCTTTACATGTTACATCATTGTTACAACATCGTTGTATTATTATTATTATTATTATAATATTACCTATTTGTAAAAACACAAAACTCACACATCACGCATTGTCTTGATTTCCATCTAAAGTCTAGAAACGTTTTGACGAGGGACATCGAGAGTCACAACGAAGAATGCAAACGAGTTAGCAAAGAACTCGAACTTTTGAAGGACGAGTTGAACGATATGAGAAATGAAGTCGATGCGGATTGCATCCAAGCTAATGTAGACATTGGCGATTTACCGAATATCACTAATATAATGTCCACTATCAAGTGAGTGAATTGTGAATTTAATCGTTCGGATAAAATAATTTAACAAAATAGTAAATAATTTAAATGCTTTCAGAATGGTCAACAACAATCTAATGCACTCCATCAGACTGGCGGAGGACATGCTAAACAAGATAGACAACAAGATAAGGCAGAGCAACGCCGCAATTAAAGAATATAAAGAAAAAGAGAAGACTGACATCTTTTAAAAAAACTTTGTGTTTTTTTTATTCTTTTTTTAATAAGCCAGAGATTTGAAAGAAATCACAAATACGATCTAAAATTGTTAGTTTTTATAATATATGTATAATTATTAATGAATAATTGTTGTATATATACACTTTTCCCTTGAAGAAATTTATTGCTGATGTGATCAAAATGATGTTTATTTTTTGAACAAACATTTGTGTGAAAACACACTGCTCAACAATGATTTTACTAATAAATTTGAGGTCAGTAATAAATTTCTTTATAAGGGTAATGTAATTATTTACGTTTTTTATGTTAACAATTAATGTAAGCAATTACTTGTTAATTAATTTTCTTAGTACACATTATGTTAATAAACATGTAAATTAAAAGTCACGTTCGTCTGTTATTCTTTCCCGCCGTTTGTATTTAAAATTTTGAAACATCACACGAGCGCCCTCTAAACGAACCGAATGCAAAAGCGCCAACGGCAGTTGCAGGCTGCGATTGCGGTGCCACTCACAAGTGCAATTGTAATGTATGTTGTAAATGATAGTAAAGCGGACAAACACAAATTCGAGCACAAGCTGAAACACTCAAAAGCCGGTTGTACATTGTGGGAAAATAAGCAGCTGAACTGAATCTTCAATATCTGATATGGAACTCACCGACGACAATTTGTTAACACTGAGTGAATATCTGAAACAAACCTTAAACGTAGATGTAAATACCAGACGTCCAGGTAACTAACCTTAATAAACTAACCTTTACGTACTTGTGTCTTTTTAACAATGTAATATTCTAATAAACATTGCACATTGTTAATTACTCGTATCTTTCTTAACTCTCCATGTTCTTTCAGCTGAGAAATTCTTGGAATCAGTGGAGGTCAATCAAAATTATCCCCAGTTGTTACTTCATTTGGTGGAAAATGCAGAAATTCCCATAACAGTGAGGATTTCTGGGGCGATTGCCTTCAAAAATTATGTTAAACGTAATTGGAAAGTGGTGAGTTTTATATATACGTGTGTATGTATTTGTAAAAAATACACTTGTGTGCTTGTATAAAATAAATACAAACGTTTGATATTTCAGGAAGAAGATGCGGTGGATCGTATACACGCTGAGGACAGAATCGCCATCAAAAAGTCGATCATTAATTTAATGTTACACTCGCCGGAATCTATACAGAAACAATTGTCAGACGCTGTGTCTATCATTGGAAAGTACGACTTTCCGGACAAATGGCCTGAACTGATAGATCAGATGGTAGACAAATTTAACACCGGCGATTTTCATGTGATCAATGGGGTTCTGCACACGGCACATTCCTTGTTCAGGAAATACAGATATGAGTACAAAAGTGACACTTTGTGGAGAGAAATAAAATTTGTATTGGACAAGTTTGCCAAGCCTATGACTGATTTGTTCTTAGTAAGTATTTTTGCTGTGTCAAGAAAACATCAATTTTTTTCGAAAAGTTATTGACTGTATGTGTCAAATATTTTTCAGGCTACAATGAACTTAACGCAAGTACATGCTAATAACGTGGAAGCTTTGAAAGTTATATACAGTTCGTTGTGTATCTTATGTAAGGTGTTTTATTCTCTTAATTTTCAAGTGAGTATATTTTGTATTTACTGCAATACCAACGTGAGAGAAACTCTTTTTGCTAAGTCAGATCGTTTTTGCAGGATCTCCCGGAGTTTTTTGAGGATAACATGGAAGTGTGGATGAGAAATTTTTATACTTTGTTAACTGTTAATGTTTCCTCGTTGCAAACTACGGTAATATATTTCTTCTCTGAAATTTACAATTACACACACTTTCAAATATGCATGATAGAATTATCATTTGATCAATATATTTGTTTAAAGGGGGAGGAAGAAGCGGGCGTAATAGAACAGTTAAAGTCGCAAGTTTGCGACAACGTCGGGCTGTACGCTCAAAAGTACGACACCGAGTTTCAAGTGTATTTGCCTGAATTTGTTACAGCAATTTGGAATTTACTCACAACCACAGGTCAACAACCTAAATACGATTCCGTAAGTACTAAATACGATTCTCTTCAAGAAAATTGAGGAAATAAATACTAAAAAATTTACACACATATTGGTGTTGCAGCTAGTGTCAAATTCGCTGCAATTTTTAGCCGCGGTAGCTAATAGGGCACAATACAGATATCTATTCGAGGATCAAACAACTCTCAGCAGTATCTGCGAAAAAGTGATTATTCCTAATATGGAATTCAGAGGTAACTAACTTGCTGCCGTAAAAATTTAAATTCGCAATAGCGTTCAAAAGTGTTGTCACATTAAAATTCTTAAACCACTTTGACAGAATCAGACAGCGAGCTGTTTGAAGATAATCCCGAGGAATATATCAGACGGGACATCGAAGGTTCGGACGTGGACACCAGAAGACGCGCCGCGTGTGACTTGGTCAGAGTGCTGTCTAAATACTTCGAGGCGAAAATCATGGAAATCTTTGGAGCTTATATACAGGTGATGTGTTTTATATCGATGCAACACACACATAAAAACTAATATAAGTAATATTAATCGATTTTATTTTTAACTTGCCGCGCAAACATATATGCAATGTTTACATTTTTTTAAAGGTCATGTTGCAAAACTACGCGGAAAAACCGGCGGAAAACTGGCGTAGCAAAGACGCCGCTATTTATCTAATTACCAGTAGCGCGAGTAAAGGACAGACGCAGAAACACGGAGTCACGCAGAGCAGCGATCTCGTCTCGTTGCCGCAATTCGCCAAGCAACACATCGAACCTGAACTGGCAAAATCGAATGGTACAATAAACGTATATTTTTAAAATTTTTTATCGTCTAAATTACTTTCTGAATATTATCTGAGATCGATAAATTTCAGTAAACGAGTTCCCAGTACTTAAAGCGGACGGGATAAAATTCATTATGACGTTCAGGTCGATATTACCGTGTGACATGGTGGTGGGAAGTTTGCCGCAATTGATAAGACATCTAGGCGCGAGCAGCATCGTCGTGCACACCTACGCCGCTTGCGCGATCGAAAAGATATTGGCGATGAGAGCGGCTGATAATTCGCCTATGTAAGAAATAAGATTTATAATCCAACGTAATGTCTCGCAACACTGTTCATCGATACGTGATTCTTGAAAGTTTTGTTGAAAAAATTCTTGCAGAGTCAAAGGAGTCGATCTGTCGCCGCTGACAACGGATTTGTTGAAAGGACTCTTCGCCTGCATGAACATAACGGGTTCCGAGGAAAACGAATATGTCATGAAGGCTGTAATGAGAAGTTTCGGCACACTGCAGGAAACTGTGGTGCCGTTTTTGGCCGATCTGCTTCCGAAGCTCACCGAGAAGCTCGCGATAGTCTCTAAGAATCCAAGCCGGCCGAATTTCAATCACTATCTGTTCGAAACACTGAGCGTATCGATTAAAATTGTGTGCAAAACCAATCCCGAGGCTGTGACGTCCTTTGAGCAAGCGCTGTTTCCCATCTTTCAAGAAATTTTGCAACAAGACATACCAGGTAAACTATTTGCGTTAAAAATCGCGCGCACAAAGTCCTTGCATATGTTTGTTTTTGTTTTCAGAGTTTATTCCTTATGTATTCCAAATTTTGGCGTTGCTCCTGGAGCTGCGGACCAGTCAGAACGTACCGGAATCGTACATGGCTTTGTTCCCGTGCCTGTTGTCGCCCGTGCTGTTCGAACGCCACGCCAATATTCATCCTTTAAACCGATTGTTGCGAGCGTATATCAGTCACGGTTCGCATCAGATTATAGCGCAGGATAAGACGAGCGCGTTATTAGGAATATTTCAGAAATTAATCGCGTCAAGAGCGAACGATCACGAGGGATTTTTGCTGCTGCAAAGCATCATTGAATACTTTCCACCGTACAGCATTTTTTAAATATTTTCTTTACGTCATCTCGCAGCTGGTAATTTCATTGTTGTAACGTTGTAACTTTGATCTTTGCAGGAACGTTTTGGAACCGTACATAGAACAAATTTTCATACTGTGTTTCCGAAGACTCTCGTCGACGTCGAAAACAACAAAATTTGTAAAAGGTCTAATAGTGTTTTTTGCGTATTATATTATCAGATACGGATCGTCGAGCTTCATCACAACTGTCGACCGAATACAACCGCAGTAAGTTTCAAGCGCTATCTTTTTCCATCTTTTTATTCATTTACATGTTTAAGGCGCGAGAATTAAACACATTTGTTGAAAAATTAGATTGTTCGGAATGGTGGTGGAGCGCGTGTTGCTTACCGATCTACAAAAGATAGCGGGTGAGGTGGAACGTAAAGTTGTGGCTGTTGGAATCTCAAACTTGCTGATTGATTGCCCGGCGATGCTCGAACCTCCGTACAACGCATTCTATCCTCGTCTGTTAGCCACGTTGGTAGAATTCTTTGAGCTCCCGCAAGACGAAAGTTTGTTGCCGGCGGACGAGCTCCCGGAAAACGACGATCAGGTCGGATATCAAGTAGGCTACAGTCAGCTCGCCTATGCGAGGAATCATCGGAAAGATCCCTTGCAAAGTACGTTGGAATTTTCTTTTTATCTCTATTTTTTAAACATTTTTATCTTGAAGAAACATGTGAAATATCTGAAATAATTAGTGGAATTTACATAAGCTGATAGTTGGAGTGTTGGATTTGTGTAAAATTGTGTATGTGTATTTGACAGATATCGGCGATATACGTTTACACTTGGCGCAAGGCCTAGCGAAATTGTCGCCGGAACAGTTGCCGGGATTGCTGGGCCAGATACCCGAACCAAATGCGAATCACCTGAGAAATTATCTACAAACTGCTGGTATTACGGTTATATAATATAAACTAAATGTCCGGCACAGATTGAAGCTTCACTTGATAGCTCGAAAAATGAACAATATCGAACTTAATAAACTGTAATTAAAAGCTAATTTTTTATACACACGTAATTGTACAATTAATGAGACTACCAAGATTCAGATCATTCATGCTTGAAGTGAGGTAACTGTGTGAGTAATAAATTATGTTTATTTTATTTGTAGTGAAACAAATGTTTTATATACAATAGCAATAATAAAAAATAGAAAAATATATTCCACTTTTTAATTTACACGTAATAGTTACATGTAATTTACATGTAAGTTACATGTAATAATCAGTTCTTTTAGATGCGAAATTTAAAACAAGTTTGATTTTATTACTGATACAGTTATCTTATTGCAACGTTGAATATCCACAAGAAATCCATGTGTCATTATAAAATTTAAACTCAACTTTTTCTTTGTTTCGTCCAAAGTGCGAATTGCCGCACTTCACCGTACGTTAAAAACAATTCCAAACTCCTCTTTAGTTTATAATAAAATAGGAAATAAGTAGCGAAGAAATAATATTTTGTAAAACCATGTATAATTTGAAAACTGAAGCTTTTTCTAGACGAGTTTTTAAAACAATTTAAATATGTATATTAAAAAAAGAAAAAAAAATACTATTTGCATTAGCTTGTCTTTTATTAAAACCTTAAAGAAAAAAGACATTAAGATATATATTTACGGAAGAGAGTTTTTATCTTGTCACGCACACATTTGGTTTACTCCTATATGTAGTAAAATTTTTTTTCTATTTTATTTCTCTTCTAACATATTGCGATAATGCGATATACAGAGCTGTGAAAAGATAAAACTTTCGATACAATTAGATATGTCTATGGAAGAGATATATTCGAAATGAATAATATAAAGTTTGCATAAATATTTACTAACATACAATAAGTCTTCGACTTCGACCATATACAACTTCTTCTAAATAAAAAAAACGATCCCTTATAAAAAAAAAAGCGATCCCTTTTTTATTTAGTACATATCAAGATTTAAAAAAAAAATTATATATATATAAATAACAACAAAAAGTCAAAAAGATATAATCGGCAAGAGAAAATACTTGTGTGTGTGTGTGTATCTTGTGTGTTAATATATCTAAGAATTTGTAAAAGATTGTGGATAAACTGCAACTGTTTCGTTTTGCTTGTGAAATTCAACAAGTATTCTGCATATGTTTTTTACGATCTCTATAAAAAAATAATCTTTGCCTCACACCTTTCTGTAGATTGGTAGCCGATCGGTGTATAAATATCAATCGACACGAAGCTGCACGAAGCGTAGATTTTTTTTTTTTACGTTCAACGATATCATTACATTATAAATGATTTTACGTTTAACGGTATCACATTTGCGACAGTAAGACAATTGGCATCTTGTAAATGTGCTTGACACGGCAACACATATGTAGAGTATTTGACACTTTCTTTCCTCATAAACTAGTATATAAATCTACGAGAAATATAATGCACTCGTCCTTTGGCAATCGACTGTATGGCATATGTGTAAACCCTCCGATCTTGTGGTTCGTTCGCCTTTAAAGATCCAGAGCGGAATGATCCATTAAATTCTTCAGCAAACTGTTGGACATCCTAGAAGAAAATACAATATGTGTGTATGTGTGTATATAAAAATGTTACCCATCATCCTCAAAGCCTAATATGTAGCGCATTGTTTTCATGCAATAAAACAACGTACTTTTTCACCATGTGGTCGTAGATGTAAGATGGAATTATCGTCACCGTGATGACATTTCCGCCGTTTTCGATCTCGGTCGTGATATCCTTATCTTTCATGCCAACTACGTTCTAAACAATAATGTGTACAGCTCATTAATTACAAATACAATTGCGCGAAATTGCAACGTTATTTATTCCATCAAATTAGACAAACGGAAAACGTAGACACGTACCTTTCCGTTAATCTCGAGTAGTTGATGATCAGTCAGAAGTCCGTTTCGCGCGGCCGAAGAATCCTTCACCAAGGCGATTATCTTGCCGTTTTTAAACTGAAATCCAACGTAGCCCGTGCTATCTTTGTGCATCGTCACAGTGCGTTCGAACGGTCTGCAACGCGTCACATCATCGCATTAACAAGAAGAATAATAACGACGATGTTAAAGTGAATAGATCATTTTTCAATAAATAAAAGATAAATAACAGCGATCTGACCTGTCGCGTACAACCACTTTTATATTATTGTTATCCGCGTTACGGAAGAGCTTGTGCACTTGATCCATCGAGTATCCGGCAACACATTCGTCATTGACACTCAAGATCTGATCGCCGAATCGCAGTCCAACCATCGACGCCGGAGAATCGCGACTTACGAGGCACACGAAAATCCCGTTGTTGATCGAGTGCACTCTAACACCCACCTTTCCATCCGCATCCTTGCACAGTATCAACTAAAGAGAAAAACACATATGTAGGAAACTGTAATCTCTTTGCTCAAAGAAAGCACGCGAGCACGTTTCACGCATAATTACAAAATTATTTCAAAACGCATTTGACAGACAAACAAAAGTAGAAAAACTACGATGATTCCGTCTACTGAATATATTTACTTCTCTGATGCCATTTGTCACGTGCGCTTTTTGCAAAGCCACCGACTGTCCCGATAAGGGAGCAATCATCCCCGCTAACGAACCACCTGTTCCAATTGATGAAGCAATCGCCACCTAAAACCAATCGCAATATTCTATTTTCTTGTAAATAAAAATATAAAAACCGAATTTATTTGATATTTTTTACACTGAAAAAGCAATCAGTTCAAAACCTATTTTGTGTAAGTTTACATACATTGTTTGCATTTTGACGTGTGGCAACAACGTATTCGGGCATGTTTTGTGCGATTGTCTCCTCATTTAACTCAAGTCCCATATAGTTACTCAGAGAAGGATACAGCGGGGCACTGGGTGCAGTAGGACTGTCATAAGCAGGCGCCGTGGGAATTGCAGGTTCAGCTGATAGTGATGGAACAACATAATGTGACTCTGCTTGTATTTGAGCCTGTAATATTATTGTCATCATTGATAAATTTTTAAACAATATTTTTTATAACTGTAAAAACTGTATAACTACCCACAAAACTGAACAAACATAGTAATTAAATCTTTCCATTTGTTGTTATCAGAAAATCTATTATTTGAAACAAAGAAGAGATGCTTTTTTTTGTATCTTTAATTTACCTTCATTAGTTGGTCCACTTTTAAATCTTCCAGTGTAGGATAAAGAGACATGGTGAAGTCTTTTTTTTATGTATCCTATAATGTGCAATGAAAACAATGTTACAATGTTTCATAGAGTTTATAAGTTAAGTTTTTATATATGTAAGAGAGAAAAATATATAAATTTTATATATAGTTATATAATCAAATACTTCATGTAATCTAATCTAATCTAAAAGAATATTGTTTGTTCGCTCAAATTGTGAAAACAATAAGAACATACTGTTTAATGCAAATAGTTGTTAATGTATTTCAAATAAATTTTTTACATTTCAATAATTTTGAAAATGTTTAAATTTATATTGTTAGATATTTTTAAATCTAGTGTATTATTACTTCCGCTGTAAATATATATATATATATATATATGTTTTCTTTCTAGGAAAATGATATGTAATAAAATATCACGGATGATTCACTTGGTATGCAAAGAGATTGTATTGTGAAATCTCAAATGATTCATCTAAGTCTCACGGAGATTGTTGAATTTTTTTTTTTTTTTATTTCTTTTGTCTTTACTTTCTTCTAAGTATACGCGTGTTGCAAAACGTATATCTTATACACATGTATCTTACAGAAAAAATTACATTAATTTATAAACATGGAAGTTAATTGCAATTTTTCTTATTTTTTTCTTCCATGTATATAAAAAAAAAAGTAAATAATCTTTTAGAATTTTAACGTTAAACATTTGCCGCACATGCCAAATGCGATTATTATTAATTGCCCCAATTAACAATAATAGACACGATGTTGTTTGTTCACGGCTTAGACCGATAACAATGGACGATTACATACCAATATAATGACAAACATACATATATCGTACATGTGATCGTTACATGACTTACCAACAAATTCGATGAAACTGTCAGTCGCTGCTACAACACCAATGTTATTTAGACAATTTATAATCGCACGCGTTCGTTCTTGAAGCACAATATTCGCCCGGACCTGTCAACAAACGATACTCGATACTTTCTAAAATCGATCAGAGTCAAATTCAAGTTGAGTGTCCAACTTATGTTAGAAGTATTTAGATTGGCGATCTTTAGTCTTATCGACAAGGTCGCTGACACAAGCGCCTCTAGCAGATATGACATACATCACGTGGCCTATATGCGTGTTTCTATAAAAATTCAAACTTTCAAAATATTTGACTGACTTCTCGTCATTAGTTCGAGATATTTGTGTATATAATCAGGTGATTTCAGAGAACATCTCTCTATGAAGTTAAAAGATTATTTTACATAAACTTCAAAACAAAATTAACAACAATGGCATCAAAAAAGGTTAGTAATAACACATATATACATGACTTAATATGTATTGTGTACGCTACGTCATTTATAATATTGTTTTACATATATAATGCACAAATTTGTTTTTCATCACTAACTGATCTGAGTTACATACATCTTATTTTATTGTTTCTAGAAAGACAAACGAATACACTTAAGTATTGCAGAACGTGTCACAATATTAAACAGGTTAGATAATGGAGAAAAAGCTATCGATTTAGCAAAGGAATACAAAATAACTCAAGCGGCAATATCGCTAATAAAAAAAGCGAAAGAACACATACTACGACAACATTCTATACTTTTAGAGAGCCAAGGGAGTACCGCCAAGAAAAGGTTTACAGTTGAGGATAATCGTCTCGAAAAATCTCTATACGAGTGGTTTATTGAGAAAACAAATAAGGGTGATGCAGTAACGGGACCGATGTTGCAAAAGAAAGCAGTGGAATTGAACGCTGAATTAGACGGTTCCAGCACTTTTAAAGGTTCTCCAGGTTTTGTGAATAAATTCAAAAAAAGACACAACATCACGTGTTTGCATCACATTGCTGATAAAAAGACAAGTGATCGATTTTATCAAGAACTTGCAAACTATATCAATGAAACTAAAACACCTTTGGACAAGATTTATAATGCTGATAAAACTGGCCTCTGTTGGAAAATGTTGCCAAGTAAATTACCAATTGCCGATGACAAGAGTCAAGAGTCTTTTGGAAACATACTCTACAAAGACAGAGTTGCTTTAATGATTTGTACAAATGCTACAGGGAGTCATAAGCTTCCAATTTTAGTTATAGGAAAAAACAATCAGTCGCATTGCTTTAACAATGTGCAGTTTTTACCAGTTTTCTATGAGGAACAGCAAAACGCCACAATGGACAGTGAATTAATGTTAAAATGGTATAAAGACATTTTTCTGCCAGAAATAGAGCAACACCACGGATCAAATGATCAGCAGTGCCTTCTTTTACTTGAAAACGCCCCTTGTCAGTTATCAGCAGAACAATTCAACACAATTAGTCAACGATGCAAAGTAATGTTTCTACTTCCTAATGTAAAATCGCTTGTACAGCCAGTAAATCAGGGAATAATCGCAAAATGTAAGCAAATTTACAAAAGAAATCTTCTTCGAATAGCGCTTACAGAAAATACTTCCGAAGGTGTAGAAAGAGTTATAAGATCGTTCGATTTGCTTCGTTGCTGCTATTTAATAAGTAACGCTTGGGATTCGATAACAGATAATTTTATAAGAAAAGCTTGGAAGAACATTATCAAAGCCCATGCACATTCGGAGTCACAATGTGTCGAAGATTCGGAAATTGAAAACACATTAACGCATACGTTTGGTGATAACAAATTTTCATCTAAAGAGATTATCGCGTGGTTGCATAATGATGATGATGATGATGATGATGATGATAAACTTGAAACGGCATTATTGAATATTCAAGAAGCAACTTCTCTAGAAGACAATAAAGAAACAGTGGAAATAGAAAATGCGGAAAATGAAATGGAAAGTGAAACGGAACACGATTATCTTATTATAAATAAACATAAAATTAAGGCGAGAGATGCTGTTCTTGCTATAAATACAATAATAGATTATGTAAACCAGACTGAAGATCCTTCCAAGAACTGTGATTGTTTATTTAAACTCTGGCTGCGAGCAATCAAAGAGCTTCAAGATACTTGAAGTCAACTCAGATAGCGAAATAAGAGAAATGTATGTCACCAGATCGCAATCCGTTGCGATTTGGGATTCGCAGCAGATTGTTTCAGCGATGACGCACAAGAGCACGGCTGCACGGCGAAAATGCTTCAAAAGTGAAAAACTATTTGTCGTCGCTACGTCAAAAAGTTTTTCAATTGTAAAAATGTATAAAAATATTCTTTCTCACAATTTTTATATGTAAACAATTTATTATTTATACATGTTGTGTGAAGATATATTTATATATACAAATACATTTATACAATATACATTTGTTTCTTTGGAATCATTAATTTCATCCAATTTTGTTGGATACAAAAAATATTTCTTCGCTCTGCCCAATCAAATATTGTTAAGTAAAAAATTCGACAAAGTACTCAACTTAAAAAAATACTGACTCTCACGTTGAAGACTGGCACAGTGACTTTCTCGCTTCTAAATCCTCCCACGTTGGATGAGTAGCGTATGTGTACAGTCGTTCCATATTGGTAGCATACAAGGTGTGATTGCTTACGAGATTTTTATAAATCTAAAAAAAAAAAAGATTTAAGCGATTAAAAAATTACGTATGTTGCGACAAGTAAATTTGTCAATTGCTACCTTCAACGTGTATTGCAAGTCTGCTATGTTTACTGGCTTCAACAGAGGACGCAGTATTTGTGTGGAACAAGCGTATGAAAAAGCGGTGGCTTGTTCAGCTTCCTCAACAGTCGGTTTTGCCACCGGGATTTGGCCGTAATGCTCCATGATTTCTGTCGGTCTGTTAACATTTCAAGATACTATAAAACATTTGTTGTGTTATTTTGTATACAACCCCACTGCGCAATTATGAAACAACATAACATTTAGCTTACCCAGAATTAAATGAGTTTATGTACAGAGAATGTCTCTTCCACGAACTGGGTACTGGTTCGCCTATGTTATAAATAAAGGAATTGTCGCGAATGGCGTATCCTTTTCTCCGTGTAAAAACGGCGGTAAGTATGTTTTTCAAGAACATTTGCGTGGCAACTATGACAATGTGCGCGGTGCTTTCTTCAGCATCGTCCAAGCCGTGCTCCCACGCTGCGAGCATCAGTCGAGCCAGAACGAAAGGCCGATCTGGTAGCAAAAGCTCTTGGGCGCTGGATCGATTGGCACCGGTAGGCTCTTCTCTGGCTAGTGCTGTGGTTTGATCCAACACCTCCACGTACATATCCGCCGGCTAATTACGAAACAAAAGAACGTAAACAAATTGTATTTAAAATTCTGGTGTCGCAACGCACACACGCTCGCACAAACCTCAAAGTTTGACTTGTCAGTTTTGTATTTGCGTTTCAGTCCCGTAAGTTTCTTCTCCTTTGAACTTCTGTCTCTATCTCTGTCTATTTTGGGAATTGGTGTAGCGACGGCTAATCCGCGAACTTTATTGAAGATGCACAGCAGAAATTCGTTGTGCAAACGAACCTGATCGTCCGTCATGAGGCTGCGCGCCTCGGAGTCAAATTCTTCCTTCGAAGTCTGAAACAATTTGTTTGTTTGTTTGTTTGTTTGTTTTTTTAAGATAATATACGTTAAATATTCATATCCGTTAGACTAAAAAGAATGCAATTAAACTTTGCACCTTCATTTGAAACCACAATTTCATTTTCTCAAAATACACCTTCGCATTGTCACCGAGCGACGCCACGAGACTGTTTTTGGCTAAGTTTAATTCCTTCGAAGTAGTCATTTTCGTGATCTTACTTTTGTCCAAATGTCGAGGAATTGTTTAAGGTCTTCAATCTCATCTGTTCGGGGATATATAGGATTACGTCACACACCGTTTTCTCGCACGAAACAAAAAAGAACCTGGGACGACGGGAAAAAGTTGTTGCGTGCGTCCTGCGAATCTCTGTGCGAGTTACGAAATCTGCAGTATCGATAGCAGATCGATTGTCCGCGAGCAGTCTCGCGTGTAACTTTCAGGATGTTCGTGCGTTACGACCGTAAAATCTGCGAATTCCAAATAGAAAGATAAACAGCATAAATAGAATTCGGATATTTTTCTCTTCTACGAGTAGAAAAAATAACGCGAGTCATGCGTTAAAACGTTTAATGGATCTTTTGTCTTAGTAAGGTGAAGACGCACGTGTGAGATAGACCTGTCACACACACACACAACACACACACACACGCGCTCGGGCCTGACTTGTCAAAAATAGCGGCGTTCGATTGTAGCTGCTGCTCGCAGCCGGTTGACGATCGCTCGCACCGCAGATCGGCATTTGACTCGATATGCATTCAACAACGTTAATTATTTGAACAGTGAAAAGTTCTCTCTCTGCACGTGTGCAGAAAGTTAAATTTTAATTCTCACGGTAAGTAAGCATTCGTGCGAAACAAAGGTCGTGTGCGTGAGTCTGAACAAAAAAATAGAAAACGTAACATTTTAGGAAATTATTGACTATTTAACAATAAATAAAATTTTGATATTTTTTAATAATAAATATGAACCATTTGTTTCCTCAAAAAAACAGATGATATCGACGAGATACATATCGTTCTTGTCGGGGATAGTGATAGCTTCCCTAACATGGGCGTTCAGTTTGTATCTTTACTCGAAACTGTCGTCGAACATCATCACTGCCGATCCCACCACGATGTCGGCGCCCGGCGCTTCCGCGCGAGGAGAAAACAATTACCGAGACATGATGCTGCGCGACAACGTTGTCATTCCGCGCAACGAGAAACAAGTCTTGATCGCCAAGAACGTCTACCAATTGAACGATGATCGAGATCGCAGGAACAATCTGCAGCACTTCCAACCGATCCCGGTGAAACCCGCTGTTACTCTGGATCAAGGTAATAGCCGTGATATTGTATATAGACTGGCGTGCAATCAGAAACTGAGTTAACTGTGCAACATTTCAGATTTGGACGAATTGGGAATGGTAAGAAACTTAGAGGATCAACAGAAAAAGGACAGCGGATACAAGGATTACGCCTTCAACGTTCTGATATCTGACAATCTTGGTGTGCGAAGAAACATACCCGACACAAGGCACAAACTCTGTCGAAGACAAAAGTATCCCGCCAATATGCGAAACGCCAGCGTGGTCATTTGTTTTTACAACGAGCATTACATGACGTTGCTGCGATCGTTGCATTCCATAATCGACAAGACGCCGGTCACGCTCTTGCACGAGATCGTTTTGGTGAACGATTGCAGCGACAGCGACGCGTTGCACGAGAAGATAAGAGAATACATCAAGAACACATTTGACGCCAGAGTTCGATTGTTCAAGACCGAGAGAAGGGAGGGTTTGATCAGAGCGAGGGTGTTCGGCGCGAGAAAAGCAACTGGCAATGTTCTGGTCTTTCTTGACAGTCACATAGAAGTGAACGAAATGTGGCTGGAGCCGCTTCTTTCGAGGATCGGTCATTCGAAAACTATCGTGCCCATGCCAGTGATCGACATTATAAACGCAGACACGTTTCAGTACACCGGCAGCCCGTTGGTGAGAGGCGGCTTTAACTGGGGTCTCCATTTCAAATGGGACAATCTGCCGGTCGGGACGTTGAGACATGAAGACGATTTTGTAAAGCCCATAAAGTAAGACAATATTGTCACGCTTGATCTCTTGCCTGATTTTTTTTATGAATAAAATTGTTTTCTTAACTACGTTTTTTTTTTTCCGCAACTAACAGATCGCCAACAATGGCCGGAGGATTATTCGCTATTGACGCAGAATATTTTAGAACACTAGGAGAGTATGACACTGGTATGGACATTTGGGGCGGAGAAAATCTGGAAATATCATTTCGAGTGAGATTTTTTAACCGTTTGTTCTTTTCCCTAAAATTTCTCTGTGTGTTCAACAGTGTTTCTGTTTGTTTTTTAGATATGGATGTGCGGTGGAAGTATCGAGCTGATTCCTTGCTCGCGAGTGGGTCACGTGTTCAGAAGACGGCGACCGTACGGCGCGGACGATCCGGACGACACAATGCTCAAGAATTCGTTGCGAGTCGCTCACGTGTGGATGGACGAGTACAAAGATTACTTCCTGAAGAGCGCGAAGACGATAAATTACGGCGATATTTCGGAACGACTGGCTCTGCGTCAGAGATTGAAATGCAAGTCCTTTCATTGGTATTTAACTGCGGTTTATCCCGAATTGGCTTTGCCGGACGACACGGAAAGACGATTGAAAGACAAGTGGTCGAAGCTCGAGCAGAGACCAATGCAACCCTGGCACTCGAGGAAGAGAAACTACACCGATCAGTTTCAAATCAGACTCTCGAATTCCGCGCTCTGTCTCCAGAGCGAGAAGGACATCAAGACCAAGGGCTCGAAACTTATTCTGATGCCATGTTTGAGAATTAAATCACAAGTAAGTGTCGCATCATCAAAAAAGTACATCGTTCGTGAGAAGAAGAAGAAACTTTTGTCATGTTCTTTTGTTTTTTTTTTTCGTAGATGTGGTACGAAACCGATAAGAGCGAATTGTTACTTGGACAAATTCTGTGCTTGGAGGGCGCTGAAAAGATACCGAAGCTTGGCAAGTGTCACGAGATGGGCGGTAATCAAGAATGGCGTCACAAGCGTGTTGTAAGACTTTGTTTGTTTACTCTTTGTTTTGCTATATTATTATTTTGTTGCCGATTTTGTTGCAAACACTTTGTTTTTTTTTTACAGAGCGGTACGCCAATCTACAATATGGCAACAGGAACCTGCTTGGGAGTAATAAACAATGCAAAGAATGCTCAGGTCATCTTGGATTTGTGCACGAAATCGAACACTTCGCTGATATCTTGGGATCTCGTCCGATCGAAACTTTCGTCCAAGGATATCAGATGACGCAGAAAGAAAGGTCGTAAGAATAGGAAAAAAAATTATGAAGACTGGCTCGGGAGAAAGTGGTAGAAAGGTATTTGATTTTTGACAGATTGTATATATCTGATAACGCGATCAGAGATAAAAAGTATTTTATAAGATTTGTAATATTTACATTTGAAATAATGAAATTTCAATTAAGCGCAATATTTCAAACTTGTTGAAAGTATTAATTAGTTGTACAAAAAAATTAATTGATTGTATGAAAAAAAAAAAAACTAAAACACTTGTGTAAAAGAGTCACGTCTCACTAAGGTGAGAGATGTACTGAGAAATTTAATTTTTACATCTTTGCTACGTGTATCTTTATATAAGAGTGAATATAAAAAAAAAAAAATATCTATTTATATTTGTGATAATTCTAGAAAATTTGTTTGCTCTTTCTCTTTTCCAATCACGTCAATCATTGCCCATTGACGTGTCCCCAACTCTGTCACTCTTCCTCTTTTGTGCGCTAGTCCATCGCAAAAATCACAAATTTTATTTCAGTTTTTCAAAAATTGGCGCGAGATCTCGAATGAAAACAAACGTGACCAATTCCATTGCGAACGATCCCAGTTCGATTCCTTCTTCGTTCGAGATATCAAATTGATTTCACGTTCGTCGTGATTGGCTACTTTCATTACGTGGTTTCGTAATAAGAATTTGTGATTGGTTGCTTACAGTCGTGCGATTCTAAAGACGCGTGTTCACAGCACAGCATTCGCAAACCGTGTGACATTTGTGTGACAGATCTGTCTTAACCTGCGCGATTCTCGTTTTTTTTTTTTCTAGAAAACAGTGTAATCACATTCAAATCGGTGAGGTGTGGGGTTAAACTAAATATTTTTACGAAATTTTACTGCATTAAAGGAGAAACTTCAAATATGAGCGAAATTTCTTGCTGGGAGGATATAGAAAATGACGGTAAGTAAAAGAAAACAAAATCTGTTGATTAAGACCTAAGAGATAGATAACGAAATATATATGTGTATCGCTTTTTTTTTAGAATTCTTTAAACAACTGTTAGACGCCGATTCTAAAAAGACCGGTGTCGGTCAGTTACTGTCAGTGGCGCAACAATTGAACAAGCTAGGACAAGGTAAAGATCAAATCTTATATATAGCGAATTAAACACTGTGAAGTGCTAAATATATATGTTTGTGTTTAAGCTATTGAGGTGTTAAATGCCGAGCTGCAAAAACAAGTACTTGCGAACCATGAAAATCTGCTGTCTCAGGCAGTGTGGGTTGAGAAATTGGAAGGAGTGCTTTTTATAATGCAATCTCACATACAGGTAACTATTATAAATATTATAACACGACATTTTAAATACTAATTTAATATTCAGTTAATACATGAATGTTTGAAAAATATACAGTAATATGTTTTTTTTTTAGAGTCTTTTATCAGCTGTTGAGCGACTACGTGGAAAAATTATTGAGCCATTTAATAGAATTGAAATGCAGACTATTGTTTTAGCAAGACTTCATGAAACTTCTGATCTTCTTAGAAGAGTTGCTAGAATGCAACATCTGTCTAAACGTTTGAATTCTCAGATGAATAGCATCACTCAAGGACCTGATATTGTTAAAGCCGCCAATAGTTTGCATGAACTTGGTAAGTGCATTTATCTCTTTTTCTCTTATATTATACACAAGAAAGTATGTAAATTGTGTGTATGTGTGTACAGAACAGTTAATGGCAGACACAGATCTTAATGGTTTGGATATAGTGGCAGATGATCAACAAGCTATAAAAGCTCAAAGAGCTACGGTGCAAAGAATAGCCACTCACACATTAACGCAAGGATTACAAGCAATGGACAGAACAAAGGTGTCTTGTGAGATTATGTTCTTAGTATTTTTTATTTGACTAAAAATACATTAAAAATACATTGTAATACGTACTAAACATTATTGAAGTCTGATGTCATATAAAACATATGGTGAATGTTACTATTAATTGTTTTTTTTATATAAACAGGTGAGCACAGCTGTACAAGTCTTTCAAAACTTAGGAATAATACAAGGAGCTGTGGACACAAGCATAGAATCCACTCTAGCTGAGATAGAGAGAATTTCTACGGAATCGTTAGACGTGTCTCTGGCGACAAATCAGGAGTTTGGAAAGCGCGGAGCGCCCGGCAGAGCCGCGATTCCATCACCCGGATCGTCGGGAAATTTACGCACGAGAATCTGGGAAAATCTCGAACGTCTCTTCCAAGATACTTTATATACGCAATGTTTGCAGGTAACTAGATCTCTGGATCATATGTGAATTCTAATGTGCTCTAAGATTCAGCAGAAGAGATTTAGAAGATATCTTTGTACTTAGGTCGAATTACTGCAAAGAGTGCTGTTGGAACATCATGCCAAAGGATTTGACGATTTGTCTGAAAAATTTTGGGACAAAGTGAACGCTCTTCTCGCTAAAGTTTTGGTCGAACGTGCTCAAGGTAAATTATTGCATGCTTTGCAGATTGAATAATCAAATAAAGCCTCACAATGTATCCCGCAGGTTCGTCATTTGTGAAACAGGCTTTGGAAGGTGAATACCCGAAATTTCTGAGAATATTTTTGGACTTGAGCAAACGTTTGAAAGAGAGGTCTCACAGCATCGGAATCTACGGCATTGAGTAAGTACACGATATTGCAATCGACATACGTAGCATCACTAACACGGTGTATCTTCAATGCAGACGTAACGTTTTATTGCCGTTCGAAAACGCATATTTATCGCGTTCGGTATCTCGGCTTCTGGATCCAGTGCACAATATGTTTTCCGGAGAAGGTCTGCCGACGCACGACGAGATCGACAGTCTCATTCGTACAATTACGAAGTGAGTAATTGATCTTCACTTTGTTATATTCTGCGTATCGGAAGAAACAAAAAAAAAAGAATAATATTTGCATCTAGCGAACTGAGCGTATCGTTGGTGGACGATGGTCTCTCGACTGTGGTGTCGCGTAACGTGGGAAAGGCAATCAGATTGTTCTGCCTGAAGTGCGAGCAAAGTATGGTGACGGGTGCCGAGGCCAGTCAAGTGATCGACAGTCCTACCGCCGGTCAACAGAGAAACATCACGCTCGCTAATCTACTGTACTACCTTACCAGCCAAACAAACCGCGTGATAGCCAACCTGGCGGGAGGATTGCCGTCCGAGGGTAGTGTTGTAATCACCACGGCGCTCAAAGAGACAGACGCGTTAACAAGGAATCTGCTTATACCGTTGTTGACTTCTATCAATAACGCAATCGAGAGTATTATCTTGACCATGCACGATGATGCTGAATTTAGAGAGTAAGTTTCTCCTTTTTTTACTTTTTTTTCACGTGGGGGAAATCTTCACCGTTATCCCCGAGGTGGAGCAAGGGTAGTGCCAGACTCCTACCGGCTAAAACCCTCACAATGGCCTACAACTAACTACCTCTCACTATGACGGGAAGGAGGACCATAACTCCTTCCCGCCATCACCTTGGGCCACGTGCAATGAGGGACGTGAATACACCCTCCCGTGTGACCCACGTTTTTACCTTCCCTAATCCCTTTTCTCTTATTACATCTATTTGTAAGTCGCATAGCAACTTCACACCTCTTCTAATCTTATATCTCCGATAAAACTCATTTTACAGCGCAAGTAGTCCGTTAGGAAAAGAGATTGGTTGCTCTCTTTACATGCGCGAACTGCAAGGTTTCATCTTACGTTCTGTAAACACGTTTTTGTTACCGTACAAGAATCAAGTGGTTGTGGCCGAAAGGTAAACTCTTTGTTTCTACCCGTTCGCTTCACATCTATGAATAAATCGCTAAGCGTTAAATGTTCAATTCAAGTTGCAAAGCCGTCGCGTCACGATGTATAGAGCTGTTCGTGCGTCACGCTTGCTTATTGCGACCCCTGACTGATTTTGGAAGGGCAAAACTTTTGGTAGATTTCGCTCAGGTACGTGCCGCTTCTTTGTGCAAAGAACAAATGTCGGTGTATGTGTGTAACAAGATTGTGTATTTTAGATGGAGGTAGCTGTAACACCGCTGTGTCGCGGCGGCCTCGAGCAACAGCAATATAGAACGTTGCGCGCGCTCAAAACTCTGCTTCCCCTCAAACCCGAGGAGATGGCCGACAAGATCTTGGAGGGAAAAGGAGAAAGCAGCGTGCCACCGTCGCTCGTTTTGTTGCATTTATTTTCCGGCGCACCACCCGAACTAGCGTCACCGCATCAGGTGAGTAGATCTCACGATCTACTGTAGATTTTTTTTTTTTTTTTTTTTTTACCCCTGACACACGCGAAGCAATTTCATTGATTTTGTTGACACACAGAGCGCCGGGTGGTCCGTAAAACGCTTGTCACAATGGATGGACAGTCACCCGAGCGAGAGGGACAGATTAACGCTCTGCAGCGGACCGCTGGAACGTTACCAGTTAACGGTGCGACAGCAAAATCTTTTGTCATTCCACCCGTTATTCCCGCACATGATGAAATTAGTTAACTTGAAAGAACATTCCGGTCAATAAAATGTACAATTAGGTATTTAAAATTTGTATATACAATTTTTCTTCGTATGAAAACACATATATACAGTTTTTTTTTTGCTTACTGGATAATTGCGACAAAATGCTAGGTGGTGTAAGTGCAATAAATACTTGTGTGTGAGAGAGAATTGGTATGTATGTATATTTTCATTACAAAATAACAATGATTCGAACAAATCGACGCCGTTCTCTATATCTTTACTTAAAATTCATGTAAACAAACTATATTGTAACAATTCTCTATTTCAGCAACCAGATGCAAACCAGATGTTAAATCTCTTCAGTTTTACGGAGTAGTAAAAAATTTTATATACATGCGCGTGCATGTCTATATGTGTGGCGGCTTGTAGAAGCCGCGGCATCTCTCGTAATAGATTTGTACTGTACGTTTCTTCACTACTTCCTCTACATTGAGCTCGGCTTGCAACAGTCTCAGAGTGGTCTGTTCTTTTCTCAGAGACTTTATTAGAGTCGGGCTCTCGTCGCCCTGATCTCTGAGACTCTTCAATTGCATGACTTTCTCCTTGGTAACGTTCAGACACTTGTTTATTGCTTGCTCCCTTTGAGCGTGTTCGGATTCTATTTGCTGAAACAAGTCTTTGCATTGCGCAGCTGGATCCAACTGGGCTTTGAAGGACTCGGTGGGAATCGTGGTGTTCAGCATGTAAATTATTTTGTCATCTATCAACCGCATTCTCTTCAACGTATCCTGAAACACAATGCTACATATATATATTGCTGTACACACGACTCAGCCAGTCTCACACAGTGTCTTGGTGATGGGTAGGTTAGATTGCTTTAACCTCTTGACAAAAAGCGAAGAGAAAGATGTACAAATGTTTCTATGAAATTTTTAACAATCAGCGACAGCGAAGTTTTACACAACAGCTAGAATCTGAACTTGTTCGTGGAACAACAAATGTTTTTTTTTTTTTTTTCTAGCGCGAATGAAACATCGCGAGATAACCGTCTTATCTACTAGCCGGTATCGGTCACGAGACGTTATTTGTCAAGATGACTCAAATAATGTCAAATTTATGTAAATTTCTCACGCCCGTTTAACGCAATGTACTGATGTGTGAATGTTACGCGAGTCCCGTTTTGAGAAATACCTGAAATTCTAAAAAATCGCCACATTCTACACTAGTGGCTGCCATTTCTTATTTGGAGTTCTAGACACGTGAGGGGCATGCTCCACAAGGCATATATACTCCGTACGTACGGGGGCCGCGTTCCGCGTTTGTTTACAGCGTACTGGAAATCTATAGCACACGTGACGCAAAGTATAGATTTCTAGTTCGCTGGCAGCGAACGTCGAAATGCAGCCGCGTACGCAAAAGTGAAGAGGTAGACACACCAGCTGACGAGTACAGAAGTGTGTTGTGTCAGTGTGTGTGTCAATCGCAATAGCCGCCTATTGCTTCTACATTTCACAAAAGTGAAACATCACTTAAGATAATCACAAACAAAGTATGTAAATCGAAGAAATGTGAATAATGAACAAAATTGTTGTTCTTGGCAAAAGAGTAACTTGATAGAGAGAAAGTGACGAATAAACGTGATGTAGACTGCAGAGTATGAAGGACAGAATAATCGTCGCATTATCATTAATTAAAAAAAGATTACATGACGTATTTTTAATCGAACGTTACTACGTTGCTTTTCGCGTCTCGTAAATCATCTTCGTTTTGTTAATAAATTATGAAAATAAAAAACGAAAATGTAAGATAAATCTGAAACAGCTGTCACTCTCGTAATCTTGTAAAATAATAAATATAACACTGAAAATAACAAACCCTAATGCGTTTTTGTGCGAAACAAAAATTAGAGCTTGAAAAAACGTTCTATTCCTCGCGCAAGGAATTATTTATTGTCAAAAAATAAACAACGGAAAGTTAAGGTTAGAAAAATGGGTCGTATCAGACGGTAGATTCGATCGAGTTCCGATTCTATTTTGGCAGAATATCGCGAACGATGCGAATTTTGACGTAAATCACTGTGTGAGCGCACGTGCATACACTTACACACATATACATCTAGTGCTATCACCCATGTCGGTAACGATAGATCGCACTTGATTGATCGGTGCAATTAATAAAATAAAAGTACGTAGAATTTTTATCGAGAATATCGATGGGATTTTTTAATCGATCGCACCTTTTTGACGCGAAATTTGTATATTCGCGATTTAACCATTCATTAATTAAAGATAAAACAATCGCCTTCTTACATAAGCCCATTGTTTCAAGCATGCGCGGTAAATGCACGTGCGCTCCACGCACGCACGTTCGAAAAATCATAACGACAGTTGAAATATTTGTACGATTGTTTTAACACGTAAAAAATGCGGAATCAGTTTCTTTCTTTGTCTCGTTTACGTAATAACGTTTAGATAAGTAATCGTTTTTTTTTTTTCCCAGAATGTTATCGAGACAGTTCATCAAGAGTGCCAATTTGCACACAGTGCGATGGTTCACTCGCATCGGCGGCACTATGCGAGAAGCCAATAAAGTGGAAAAAACCGCCGCGGAAAAGAGTCACGAGGACACAAAGAAAATCTTAGGTAAAAAAAAAAAAAAAAAATGTTTCACACGGCATTTTTACAAAATATAAAATGTTTAACCGTGTCTCTATTTTGTTCTTATCGTTCATAGGTTCGGAAGCGCGTATGCACCGTGTAACCGATTTCGACAAGAAATTACTGGTTTGGGTGAAACGATATCCAAACGTAGCAGACGTTCCCACAGAAGTGACGTATGTGTATTTTTTTTAAAATAACTTTTTGTATTTCGTAAGTTCTTGTGATTTTAAATCTCATTCGACGTGGTTCTTTTGTACAGATCGGAGTGTATACTTTCGGCGAGGTCTAAGGCGCGAATTAAGATCTGCAATTACATGATCGTTGTAACCATTATTGGCTGCGTAATATCCGTGATACTCGGAAAACGTCAAGCTGAAAGAGGAGACACCTTGAAAAAACAAAGGGAAGAGTGGTTTGAAAATGTGATGGCACGGGAGAGAAGTAAATAATGTACAAAAATATTCAAGAAATGTAGTGAAATGAGTCGCAAATGTTGTAAGGAACAAGTTTTGTGTTAAATGTAGATGACGACGACTTGTTGCAAATCAATTGAGTTTCTTATCATTATTAAGAAACTTCGTTATTTCAAAATATTTTTCATAATATTTCTCGTAAAATACTTAGAAAGCTAATTTTTTTGCAATAACGAGGCAATAAGAGATGTTTTACATTGTAATCACATGTGAGATAGATCTGTAAATGTTTCAGAAATCAATAATAGAGTTTAAGAGAAAATTCTGAAAAGTCGTATTCTGCTCTTGCAGTGTTAAATTACTTGTGTTGTTATCCACTTAAACGTTATTAATAATTAACGATGTGTGTGTATACTGCAATCTCTCTTTTCTTTCAAATACTGAAGGAATTAAACTTTATTTCGATATATATATATACTATTAATATATACACTTATAATTGTATGTCCTTACATACACATGCTTATTAATAATATATACAAACTCTCCTTCTATCTGTACAAACAATTTTGGCAATTGAAACACATTTCTGCAAATTGAACAGGGGTAGAATTTTTTGCTTGTGTTGAATCATTTATACTGAAAGGAAAAAGATTTCGTATTTTTAAATAAAAAAGTAGTTTTTATAATTAAAACACATTTCTGCAATTTGGACAAGTAGACTTTTGACTTGTGTTGAACCATTGGTACTGAAAGAAAAAATACATCATGTTATAAAAAAAAAAAACAAACACTTTTTTTATGAAAGATAATATATAAATGGGGACAATGTAAATATACTCACCAAACAAGAAGTGTGATACTTTTTATGACAGACGTTGCAAGATAATTTTGGTATTTGGTGCGTATTATGATGTAAAATACTGTAACATATGCAACACTCATCGACGCTCGCAAATTTCTTGTCTAAAATGCGCTTCCACATCAGAAGACCTTCCCAAATATCTCCGTTCTGCACAAGAAAAATTAGAATATAGACATATGTGTGTAGATTTTGTCACTGATTATTATATATGTAAACACCCAGCAATACGCTTACCTGATGCGTGAGAAATATGGCCAGTTGCGAAAAGGAATTTGTGAAGTTTGCGCTGCACGCGTTGTTCTGCACCTCCACCGCGCCCAAAGGATAATTTAACGGCAACACAATGACTAATTCAAGTTTTGTTTCCTCCATTTTGTATATGCCTACTATTTGCCTCGTTGATTGATACATGTTTACCTTATTCGAAAACAAAGACAGATTTTGTCACAAACTTGAAAATGAGAAAACTGATTTATTATTTTTTGAAAAAACACAACATCCGACAGGTACCTTCAGATTTTCATACTTCTTCAGTCTCTGATCGTGAAGTCTCTCCTGACAGAGCATGGGACTGATGTAATAACTCGTTATTTTGTCCACCGTCGCGCTGACTTTGCTGTCGGCTGTGTTCAGCCATTGTCTAACCAACACTGGCAGACATCGCAAACAGTTCGTGTACACCCAGCACACGATGTGATCCAGTCTCAATTCTGTCCAACTCTCTGTAATTTCGTTGAAATAAAACGGTATATGCATCGATCATTGCGTTTTGCAAGGTTGTAATAAATGACAATAAATGAATACCTCCGAAGTTAAGTGACGGCTCGGTAGTAAACATCTTCAGCAGCTTGTCATTCTTGTTTTTAATACCTTGCAGTACTTCCATCGGCATTAATTTGAAGATATTTTTCAACAGCGAAGGAAACAGATGATTTCTGAAATTTATGATTGTGTTGTAAACATATCAAGGATACATGAGGGATTAGTGGAACTACGTAAGTTGCATACAAAATATATTGCACGTTGAACACTTACTTCACCATTTCAGCATAATGATACCGCAAGTCGTCGTGAGCGCACTTGCACATATCCAGCACAATCGCCCACGTTAACAAGTATCCCAGTGCGTACGTGTAAGAATCCGTAAACGGTTCGATCGTGCAGCTGATCGTGTCGCATAATCTGGAAGGAAATACGATGCGAAAATAAATACGCGATGCAAAAATTAAAAGAAAACAAAAATCTGATTCTGATAAACTCACTTGAAGTCCATAAGCATCGTGTTTACAATATTCTGCGTGCTCAGTAGAACGTCTTCGAGTTTCTTGAAATAGAGACTGCTCCGCTCGAAGCGGATACTGTCCGACTCGACTATCTTCGTGTCGCATTGTTTTAGTTTGGATACCATACACTTCAACGCGTGATAGGCGCCTAACTGAACGCTGGACACTGGAGACTGCAGCAGTTTCAGAGACAATTGCAACATGCTGTCAAAGTCCACAACGTTGACACGTTTCTCGTCCGTTTTGAACAACACATCTCCATCGAGCACGCTGATCGTTTTTCCCAGTTGATCCAGCAGCACGGTCGACCTTACGTCCGTATCGTCGTGATCGTGCAGATCCACGCAGTGCATCCACGTTTGAGCGACAACGCTCTGTACGTCGCTGGCAAACACCTTCGTCCATTCGTCCAGCAGCGCCGGAGACAACTCGGGTATCGGATTGTTCATCAAAGTCTGAATCGAACAGTACAACTGTCCCACCGCCGTTATCAACGACGTTACTCTGATATCCGTGTAATTGTAAATAGACTTTTTAATCGACTGTTGCCAAACTGCGAGAGATAACAAGATGAAGTCCCAGTGCTCGGATTCCAATACCGATGGGGTTTTTCGCACGAGCGTCGCGAGCAACCTCACGACTTCGAGCGGCAGAAGCAACCGGCTCCACGGAACGTCGAAAACCTCGCAGTCGAGAAGCAGCAGAGCGGGATCGTCCTTGTGACGCGACATGATCGTCGTCAGGTCGCAATGTTTCGCGGCGATGTCGGGGATAACGTTTTTTCGACACATCGCGGTTCTCGCAACAATTGACGAGTGAGTGATGTCGTTTGTCGATAATGTTTCCATGTCCCAGTAATCGCCCAAGATCTGAGACGCCTGCAAACGCGCTTCCTCGTTTTCTTCCGCGCCGCTCGTGCAATTTTTGTAATACCGCGCGACATCATTCACACCTGACAACTCGAACTTGGTGCAGTACGTGTGAATCATGTACGGCAGCATGTACCCGTAACTCGACCGATTGGTTTGCAAGTGAGAGCTAACGTCGTCGCGAATGTTCTTCGCGTAATATTTGCGCAAGGTGATGAGACTGATGTTGAACAACTCGAAGAGCTTGTTCACGTCGTTGTAACTCTTCGTAGACTTGTAGTGTTTGCTGTATATCTCTTTTACACTAGCCACGTATATAATGTTCATCAATAATTCCGTGATACCTGGTACGTTCAAGTCGTAGTCCTCTTCTGATTCGGAAGTTTCTTCCGCGTCGGTACTCTTATCGCTTCTCAGTCTCTCGTACAAATTATTCAACAGATCTGTCGTAAACAAAGCCCAACACAGACAATTCGTCATATTGTTCAAAATCGCGTTGTCGCTCGCAATATTGATAAGCGTGTGATCGCCGAAGATTCGTATCTTTCTCTCGAGATTTGACACATACAAGTTTCCCGTCACTATTTCGCCGTATATCGCAACAGCGGTCGCTTCCGCGACCGACAATTTTATATCAGACGACGTTAGAAACAGCAAAATGGTTTTCTCGGTGCAACGCGACGATGACTTGGCAGTGTCGTCGCGACCAACGTCGATCGCGATCTCGAAGATATCCGTCGCCAGATCCACCAACGTGTCCTTCGTGTGGCCCTCGTTGTACACTTTGCTCCAGATAATGATCGCGCATTTCTCAACGAGATCGTTGAACTTGTCCGCGGGCAAAAGCTGAGCGCTTCTCACAAATCCTTCCCTCCAGCATTTGCGCGCCGTCTCGAGGGTGGTCGTGTGACGGTCGTCGTGTTCACGAGTGCACAATTCGAACATCGTCTCCAATATCTGCACGGCGTTCGAAATTGTATTCTTGTGATTCCATGTCGAGGTCATCAGTTCCGCGACGAATTCGACGAACTTCGCGGAACAAACGTCATCCCTTCCGCTCAGCGAGTCGCAGAGAATCGACACGATCTTATTCGCCCCGTCCTCGCTTATCAGCAACTCTCCGGTTTCCGAGGTTTCGAACGCGAGCAGAATCAGATTTCGATTATTTTCCAGATTCGAACAATCTTCGTCTTCGCTCAGAACGATCTCGGCAGCCACGTCGATCAGCAGTTTGATTATATCGGCTTGTTTGTACCAATTCCTTATCACGTGATCGTTTCTGTTGCGCTCGAACAAGCAGCGGTAAATAACGTTTCTAGTGATCCTGATGTCGTTCAAATTGGTCAGCGATTTCAAGACTTTATCCTTCTCCGCGTCGTCCATGTGGGGAATCAAGTAAAATATCAACTCGAGACTTTGTTCCATCACCTCCTTCGAATTTTGCAACACCAGAGGTTTCAGATTCTTGTCATAAAACTTAAAAAAATTTTGGTCGTTAGAATCCAAGAACGTTGACACGGTAAACAATTCCCTGCTCGCAAAATGTCGCAAAAGTGTGTTCACCCGACGAATACGTTCCAAAACTCTTGGAGATATCGGCCAGCATTGTTGATAATCGGCGATAATCTTGTCGAAGTAAATTTTACAGATAACACTGACAAACTCGCAGAGTTCCGAGTTGAAAGTCGCATCCGTGTCGACAACTCTCGTCTCTGGTTGACTCGGGACGGGATCGGAATCCGAATTGGAAAATCTTACCACCTTCGACTTCTTACAGACGCGATTCGGCGGGTTCTTCAAAGTCAGCAGAAATTCAATTTGATAATTCTTATTTAATTTACCAGGGTTCCAATATTTCAACTCAAACCATTGTCGCAATTCGATCCAGAATTCTCGCATCAAAGCCGCGTACGATTTTTTGTGTTCCCCGTTCGAACGACTCCTGCTCCAATGTCGCACCAGAAGAGCGATCTCCGTGAAGCAAACTTGTTTCATGTAAACATTGATATTAAATGTGTTGCACATGTACTCGTTCGTTGTACAAAAGCACGCTTGCGCTAACACAGGCATAAGATGTTCCTTGAAGAGCCAAATGCACAAATCGACGTCCTTGGCATTGACGTGAATCGAATAGCGGAGACACTCGACGAAGGCCTGCGCCACGGCCTGAGTTTCCGAGCAATTCTTTCGCACCTTATTGGCGGAGAATCCTTCACGCAGACATGAGAAGAACGGTCCGTACAGACTGCGTACGTCGTCACTCAATTTCGGAAATTGACTGACAAAAGGCAACAGATTCGGATAAGCGGTGCTGGCGCAACCATCGCCGCCGTATCCCATAGAGCGCCACACTTTCGGAAGTACAAATTCCTTGACGTCCACTACGAGATGCCAGTCGGTCAGTTTCGTCATCGCTAAGAGCATCGATTCCCAAATGGCTGACACAACTTTAGTGTCCATTTCACACCCAAGACGGTTTATGATGGCGGTTATCGTTCGTCTCTTTTCGTTTTCCAATAAGTGTTCGGCGTTTTCTAAGACGGAGGACAGCACGTTGAAGAAAGCTATTCTTACCGACAACAAATCGTGTTGAGAGTATAGGTTCCAGAACCGAAAACTGCTCAAAATCTTGTTGTGAATCTCTACGGTTTTGTCGATTTCCTGACGCGGAACTTTCCGGAAGTAAAAGCTGTAAGCTTGCATATTTGTTGCTAAAAGTCGAGAGTAAATCTGGCTTTTCTCCTCATAATTTAAAAATGTTTGAGGAGACACGGAAAAACTGTCGGCCTTGAATAAAATATGGCTGATATGGTTTAAAATATCGTTCTGATAGCGAACTATTCTAAGTAGCTTTGATGGTGGAAAGATTTTGGCAAAAGAATATGAGGCGGTTGAAGCCGCTACAGGCGACGAATCAAATTGGGACGTGAACCACGTGCCAATTAATTGGTTCAAAAAGTTATCAATCTTCTTCCCTACACAGTCGACCAGAGCTGAGTGCGCCAACTGTGCCGCTTCTCTCACTCTATCCTCTATATCAATGGCCACAACCAAATATATCCGTGGCCAGAACGGCAGTATGCTTTCCACTGCTGACAATTCAGCTGTTTGACACAGACTTGTGAATTCTTGTAACGCCTGTGCATAACACACACACACATCTCTTTAGTTTATAAAAATCAATTGAATAATTGATTTATTTTTTATATATCACTAAAAACTCTATAAAAAAAACCAAACCAATACCTTGTGTCTCGTCCTAGCATCTTTCTTGTTCATCTTTTTGAGCGCCACTTGAAAAGTGGGATCCACACTGTTTATTTCCACATTATTGGAGAAACATAAACCGGGTAAAACGGGAACGTATCCTCCGTCTTTAACCTGAGAAGCCGCTGAGAAACCGACAAAAGGAATCGCAGTTCCCAGTAGTTCCGCGCTACGACTGCTATTTGATGGCTGCAAATTACACCGAGATGCAAAAAATTGATAAAGGTGTAAAAATCAATTAACACACAAAGAGAGAGAGAAAATGTGCAAATATTGTTAAAAGCAAGTCGTTTTGTTCGTTTTGTAATTTATACTCGCAACAACGCGTGCGAATTGCGGAAATGAAAGTTAGGACTATATTGTACAATCGTCAACGTGTAGCGGTTATAAAATTTTGTAAAATCGTGTAATTTTTTTGGATCTTTTACCTGTGCGTTGTTCTTGGTTCGTTGCGCTTGTCTATTTTTACCCATTTTAAAAGTTTCAAGTGGTCGCGAAAGAACTTACAAACAAAAAATGTATAATACAAAAATCTCGAATCTTCTATCTTCGGGCACAACAAAACACTACCCGTCCGATCGCAACGACTGAACAAAAGCAATTGAGGCCGTTCGTTCCACGTGACGAAATTTTAGTATTGGTTATAAGCGCATCGACCATTCGCAAGCCAGCATTCTAGCTGATGTAAGATAATACCGGTCTGTAATTGGTTGAATTGCTTATACAAACTTAACGGTTGCGACTCAACATCTTTTCACGTGATTTCATTCGCTGGTGTTCACACGTGTCTTTTGACACGCATGCTGTGCCGGATGAGCGTATCTCAAAATGGAGGGGATGCGCACAAAAAGTAGCGAGCAAGTACCTGCCGCAGTTGCGCCAACGTGATTGGTCAATTCCGCGAGGTCCTAACTGCGTTCATGTAGATAAGCTTTAAGTCGGCAGAGTTGACAACGATTGGTCAGAACCTGAAAGAAGACTGAAGCCTATGTCACACTACGGATTGGGATTGATATTGGATTGAAATTTGACCAACCAGAAAAAAGAAAACCAATTCTAAGTTTAGTGATCTTTGCTCTGATTGGCCAAATTGCAATCCAATCTCAATTCTAATCCGTAGTGTGACATAGGCTTGAGAGCTGCCAGGTTGTGAACTTAGCACGGAATAAAACCATAAACGTGGAGAGCGGACTTGTGCTCTCAGTTTTCTTAACCTAACCTCAAAACTTCACGTCGCGGTACCGCGCGAACGTGCACAAGCCCGCGTTTGTTATGGATCACCGATTCAAAAACGAGAGGTAAATTATCTTCCCGAACGAATTTTCAAGCGGACGAAAACAATGGGTGCCGAGGGCAAGGTCGAGCGAAGATTGTTGCTGATCTACTGTTCCTTCACCTGTATCTATTTGACCAATATTCTGGCGATAATGAAATTCAGCGACAAGCTGCACATAGTCGGGAGGTACACGTTCCTGTCCGTGCTGTGGGTGCTGATATTCGCCGAGGTGGTGAAGCTGGTGTTTCCGATGCTTCAGCCAGAAGCGCCCACCATAATCAAGGTCGAGCCGCGAAGGGCCAAGAAGTCCTGGGGCAATCTGAGGGAGATCTTCAAGTTCCTGCTCGCTGCGCTCGCACTGTCGTTGGTCTATTACGTGATCATCGTGTTGTTCGGCGCACCGGTGCTGACCGATCACGAGGAGACGACGATGCTCGTGCTCACACTGGTCACGTTGACCTTCATCCCTACAAGCTTGCACTTGGGAGTGGACGGTGCGCTGGACATGCTGATGGGAATTTACTCCCAAAAAGGCGGCATCCTGGCGGACGCTTTGAGGCTCAATATACAGCTGACGATACTGGGCACCTGGCTGGGTGCTACCGTGATCCCTCTGGACTGGGATCGCTACTGGCAGGCTTGGCCGATTCCTTGTGTGATTGGCGCGCTGCTCGGCTATCTGACTGCACACTTCGTCACTCTTCTCAAGATGCTTTCTGTCTTTAGCACACTTGGAAAAAGTTTGTCATTACCGTTTTTCTCGAAGTGACAAGAACGTTGAGAGGTATTGTGAATTTTGTGTGTGTGTTATATTTCAGGAACGTGTAAGGAGAGAGTAAGAAATCACCGAATTTGTATCAGTCGATGAATTCTAAACACACGACATACATGTACATACGAGTTTTAATTGTAATCCTAGAATAAATGAGTATTAAATTATTGTTTCATATAAATTTATATAAAAATTGTTTTATACGTGTGATCACATTTCGAAAGAGATTTTTAGTTCTCGCGTATGAATTTCATTTCTACGTACGTGCAAAGATCGAGTATTCTCGATTTACAAAAAAAGAAGAGAAGAGACGAGAGTAATTTCGAAACGTCTGTCTTTTACATAATCAGTGACAAAGCAGAAAATTTACATTCGATACGAAAGTTTATATCGATATGGTTATTTCGTCACGTCAGAATTAGATTTCATTTTCTTTATCACTTGTGCAACAATGCATGTGCATAAAAAAAACGAAAAGCAATATGCGGTAATTTATTTGAAGCTAAGTAGTTGAGCTAAATTTATATAACAAGCGGGAAAAAAAAAACTCTTATGTGAAATGACTTTGAATTATCTTCGCATTTTTATAAATCTAAACAACCAATAAACGGTAATTTTCCATGTGTGATTGCGCAGTCGCGGTGGTCGACTTGTGCGACAATATAAAAGAGGAGTGACATAAGTTCGCGCCCATTTCTCCGGTAACGCGTCGATTGTTCGAGAGGAAGCGCGACGAATTTGACAGGATAACAATGCCGGACACAGCTGGAAAGGTAATTTTTCGATCGGCATTTATTTCTGCAATTTTTCACACAACTTTTCTTTTAAAAAAATGCGAACAGAGTTCGTAAAAAACTGATTGGTTACTTTAGTCTCGCGAGAGATGCACCGTAAGTTTAGTTTTTATTTTACGAATTGTTTAACGCATCGTCCTTTGAGACTTTTTAGCACGTTATCCATTCTCTGCAAGGTATTTGCCACGCGCTCATTTTTGTATCTTTTGTATCTTCTCTTTAAAAAACAAATACGTGACCTTGTTCTGCAAGGTTAGGTCGACTTGAAATTTTTTTTTTTTTTTCGTGACGCGGGGGAAATGCCTATCGCATACCCCGACCCCTGTCTCACAAATGGGTTGTGAGATTAAATAGGTATTTATTAGTGTTTATTTATTATTTTTCAGGTTATTAAATGCAAAGCAGCAGTGGCGTGGAAAGCAAAAGAGCCTTTGTCAATAGAAGAAGTTGAAGTAGCGCCACCAAAGGCGCGTGAAGTTCGTATAAAGGTAGTGGCAGTAGCTCTGTGCCATACGGATGCTTATACTCTCGATGGATTAGATCCCGAAGGAGTATTTCCCTGTATATTGGGACATGAGGGTAGTGGCATTGTTGAAAGCGTTGGAGAGGGTGTTACTGAGTTTCAACCAGGTACAGTAATGTCATACAGATGTTTGTGTAAATTATAAGTTAACAAATGATCTAAATTTTAACCTTACAAATTTTATCTATTTTTTTCCTTACTAGTCATATTGTTTACTTGCAGGTGATCATGTTGTGCCACTTTATATTCCCCAATGTGGAGATTGCAAATTCTGCAAATCACCGAAAACAAATTTATGCAGTAAAATTCGCGACACCCAGGGCAAAGGTGTGATGCCTGATGGAACAAAGCGCTTTACCTGCAAGGGAACACCCATTGCTCATTTTATGGGATGTTCTACATTTTCCGAATACACTGTTGTGGCAGATATCTCCCTGGCAAAAGTACTAATGACACATCAAGACAATAGAAATATTTATATTCTCAATGTCTGAGAACTAATATAATTGTTGCAAACATTATTGCACAGATCAATCCTAAAGCACCAATGGACAAAGTTTGTCTCTTAGGTTGTGGAGTATCCACAGGATATGGCGCAGCTTTGAATACCGCCAAAGTAGAGCCTGGTAGTACTTGTGCTATTTGGGGTCTAGGAGCTGTGGGTCTTGCGGTGGCACTCGGCTGTAAAAAATCCGGTGCATCTCGCATCATTGGAATAGACGTTAATACAGCCAAGTTTGATCAAGGTAAATGATACAAAAAGAAAACATTGTATGGAAATGAGCAAAAATATTTTAATTACAGAGAAAATTAATAAAATTTTTTCACTTCTAATTTACAGCCAAGATATTTGGCTGCACGGAATTCGTCAATCCTAAGGATCACGATAAACCTATTCAGCAAGTGTTAATCGAAATGACTGATGGCGGATTAGATTATACATTTGAATGTGTCGGAAATGTGAACACTATGGTAATGTACACAAATATAAATTTTGTAACTTTTTTATTTTTTATTTTTCATAAGTATATTCGACGATATATATTTATGTATTTTAGAGGGCTGCGTTAGAATCTTGCCACAAAGGATGGGGCACATCCGTAATAATAGGAGTGGCTGCAGCTGGAGAAGAAATCAGAACCAGACCGTTCCAATTGGTCACCGGCCGAGTGTGGAAGGGAAGTGCATTTGGCGGATGGAAATCAAAAGACAGTGTGCCGAAATTGGTGGACGAATATCTGTCGAAACAACTGATGCTGGACGAATTCGTCACTCATAAGTTCCCATTTGCCGATATCAACAAAGGATTTGACATATTGCATTCAGGAAACTGGTAAGTCACAGAAAAATTTATATGAATATTCTGGTGTGGAAACACACCAGAAAAGGCGACATAAAAAATTATGTCACTCTAAATATTTCTGTTACAGTCTGAGAATTGTTCTTGAATACTAAGAACGATTACTAACAAAGAGATCCAATATCTTCCATGAGACAAACTACCAAAAACATATATTTTATAAATTACAAAATATATATATAAGACAAATAAGCACAATATATTTGTCTCCTTTTTTACGCAAACACTTTATATTGAATCTCTGGAAACCAAAAGGCAATAAATGAACATTTATATTTACACGCATTGTGTAAATACAAAAAAAAAACGTTCCCCGCATTTCTACAACAATCTTTATTCATAAAGAATTCTTACAGCCACATGTACAATATCAATTAAGTGAAGGTATTTTTATGGTAGCTCTTGAATGAAGTAAAAATTCTTTACGCTTTGATCAAGTGCATACCTTACAAAAATCATCATGGTACGAAGATCACTGACGATAAATTTCCATTGTATATAATTATGTATATACAATATGCAAGACTTGATAAAACTATTTACGTTTTCGCTTGTAAGTTCATATATATATATATATAATTAGTCTAGGTCGACAGTACAATATAGTCAGGCGGAATGCAAATTGCGCTCGATGCAGGAAGGAGTATGCATTAGCTCATTGTCATTGTTTATTTAAGTGTGTGTAAATATGTAGATCTAATTTTTTTTTCTTTTTTTTTCTTTTTTTTTTTTTAATGTAATCTACATACTTTAATGCGCGCAAGTTCAACCCTTTCGCTACGGCAGAGTAGGCCGCGAACGCGCACTTCGCCGCGGACAAAGTTTCAAGTCGAACGCTTTTGTCGCACGCACAAACTTTATTTCTCTCACCTTATGTTGTTCAACGTACGCTGTGCATCGTGTTTGGTAGCAAAAGGGTCAATACGCTACGTCATACATTAAGGCAAGACATTACGGACCGACAGAATAAACAAAAATTGCAAAAATACGCAATTTGTGTTGGTTTTGTAAAAAAATAGACCAGGCGGATGTAAAGTGACGAGAATTGTGTCGCGTGTTGTCGAAAAAAGAAAAAAAAGACATTCCGAATGGGCAAAAAGAAGAAAAAAATACGCGTGTTACTCAAGTAATTTGGTCACATGCTCTCTGATCTCAGCACAACGAGTATTTATCATATCGGCATTTCCTCGAAAAATCACCTGAGAGAAAACGAAACGCATTGCGAAGTGAAAAAACGCGCGCTATTAGGCTGCTTGCACAATGAGTTGTCACTTTCATTCTGAATGAGACACGTGTAATTTGCATCGGCTATCTCTACGTAAATTGCCTTCTAATAGCTAGGGGGCATATTCACATAGTCACACTGATCTTATTTTTTTTTCTTTTTCTATGTATATATATATACTGATTACATGTTACTCTCTAATGTCTACCGGTGTATACCACACACTCTTTAAGTAAAAGTTGTAAGTAAAAATGCTTATAATTACAGTAAATGCAGACGAATCACGACGTCGAACGTGGGTTTTTGTTTCTTTTTTTTTTTTTTGTTTAGCTTCGTAGAAAACAACCTCTCTCTCTCGCGTGATGGATGTTGTGCTCTTCGAGGTTGTGAAAAATCGCAAAATATACGTATATATGTATATACATATATATATACGCGTGTGTTTCTCTGCGGATTGCACGATGCAGTAAGATGATAATAACGTACTGGTTTTATATATATCTCTATATAAGCAATTTCTCACACTTCTTACGGTCGGCTTAACGCGTTCTATGGTCGTGATTAAACTGCGGTGTACAAGGTAGGTCGTTAGCGATTGCGAAATAGGTCGTTCTTGTTTTATTCGGTATGTTTCTTATATACTTGTATCTTCAAAAAACAAAAAACAAAAAAAAACGCAAGATGGCTACGAGAGAAAGAAGAATAACTTAAGGAATGCTTGCCCGCAATTACAACGTAATAAATAAGTGATATCTATATATATATATATATATATATATATATAAGACGGCTATGGATTTTGTTTTCCTACGTCGTGTAACACAGCCGAAAGTGAAGCGGCAAGAACTAGCGCAAAAACCTATTCGTTTCAAGTGGAACAACTAAGTTTTTCAGCAAGCGCGTGACAATAGCGGAACTTGACTTTTGTCGTGTATTATTTTATTTTTTTTTTTCCTCCTCTCCGTTTTCGCGTTTTTTTTCTCTCTCTCAACCAGCTTGGATTCCGTTTGGGTTTTACTTGCAGCACAAATCGTTCAAATCGTACTTAATAATATAATATATATATATATAGTTTAACGCGTTACACATCTCGTTAATCTATCTGTTAGAAATTATACGTGTAACATTCGTTTGTGTTTCTTTCCTTTCGTTTTTTTTTTCTCTTTGCTTTGAGTGTAATTTGTTTTTCATGTTATAATACGCGTGAATTTTCTGGCCGAAATATTTCGTTCTGTTTCACGTATTCCTCCGAATTTTTACGAGCTTTCTCTAGTTTCGTACGTAAGTGATTCGTAATTATATTATTTATAGATTTAGTTGTGCGTGGAGGTACCTCGACAGGCACGGGGTAGTCCAACGGGTTGGTATTCAGCGCGGCTCGCAGCGGAAATTTTCCTCTCTTTCTCTCTCACACACACACGCACACACACATTTCCGTCGCCGGTAACCTTCTCACACACTTTCGGTTTCATAATTGCGTATTCCCTACACGGACTCATCACTATTGAATATTGCATGGGAATTACGAATTGCACGGGATCTCTAGACTGGCAAAACGGCCGTTTGCCGGACGACTTACGCGATTATTGCACGGCAGGCAAGACACACTTGCTACATTTTTTAACACGTCGATTAAAACTTCCTAATTAGGACACGATTATAGTAAAGGTCGTTCGTGATGACTCTCTCAAACAAACGATCCGGTCGTGCGACTTGCCCTTTCCCCTCTTTCCTCCCCAAGTCCCAGACTTTCTCAAAAAAATCAATGATCATTGTTTCGTTGCTCTCGGAACTCATTTTTGTTTTCTTAGGCTCACGTTTCGTTTTTTTTTCTTTTTTCTTTTTTTTTGTATACATCGCGGCGTGGGATCGCGATCTTTAAACAGGCGGATTGACAGGCGGCCCGACGACAACAAAGAACATTTTTCTGATCACGACGGATTAAATTCCGAAGACGACCGGAACACGCGCGCACCTTCCCCCGCTTTTTCTTCCTACATCATCGCGCACTCGATTAAGATGCCGCGCCGCCGCTTTGCTCTCGCTGGCTGCCGCTCCCATTCAACGTGTCTAGAAATCTAACGGTTGATCGGCCGAGCCTTCGAGGTCCTGAGAGGAATCGGTGCCGCCGTCTTCGTCGTCGTCGAGGTCCACGCTGTTGGTCTTGAGCCCGCCGTTGCTGATCTTGTTCACAATCGTATCTGTACGGAAGCCATCAGAAGATTCTTAAAAGGTACAAAAAAAGTAAATTTTGAAAATACATGTAGTTATATAACTGGCGACTCTTTATGGCCAGTATTTTTATCAATTATTAGTTTTTATTAAATATCAAATAATTTTTATGGACTTCTCGAGTTTGCATTCGAACTGAATGCGAAGCGTACCGCAATCGGGTTTTGCGCCGCGCGTTCTGGTACCGGCGAACTCGACGCCGTGCGGATCGACGCACCAACAGAGACCAAGACCGCGATGGCACTGAGTGCTGCGGTAATATCCTCGCGAATCACACGCGGGTGCGGAATCCGGCGATGATCGTCTGCGCACAGCGTCGCACGGACGTTCGGCCTTAGAGAAGCACTCGCACCACTCGGATCCGCTGACGAAGATGTCGCTGAAAAAACAATTTGTGTCGCAAAAAATGCTACCGTCAGAGCGACAGAGAGCAACGACATAAGCAAGAAAGAAGAATTTCTGACGCGGGCTATTCGCAGAGAGAAGCTCCCTGCTTGCCAGTAGCGCGAGTAAACGCGCGAGTAAACGCGCGCGTTCAGACGCGCAGTAGTAACAGTAGCCGTTGGGTCAGACCGAAATCTGACTCGATGTTGTCTCCGCATTTTGACGTACGGTCACTTGCAGATATCTCAAATTTAATATCGCCATCTTTTCAAAATGTCAAATTATCTTTAGATATCATCAATTATCTAATTAGATTTTTTTTTTGTTTAAAAAAGTTGATTGAAAAAGTTTAAATTACACATTTCTCCGATAATTCCCGACGTTATTCAAAAATGTTTAAAGAACATACACGTACTATAAATACATTTATCGTACTATATTTAAACTTTTATCGATCGATCTTATCTTTCAGTCACCGTTCTAATGTTGAAACTTAGTTTTACGAAGGCAAAATTTTTCTTCTCGTGTGTATGTGTGTGTGTGTGTGTAGAATAAAACTTCACATACGAATCTTTACCTGTCAGTGTCGCAGCCATCCAGGAACGGTTTCAAGCACGGTTCATTTTGATCGTGTTCCAGACCGTACAGTTCGGAGAGCGAGAGTCGGCCGTCGCTGTCGCCGTCCAAATGTCCGAACATCCACCTGACTTCGCTCTGACAGCCAATGGGGAAACGACCCAGATCTAAATTTTTCAATATAAAAAATCTTTTTTGTTTATCACAATAATCGCGAGCAAACAAGTCGGAGAAGTACTTGAAGTTGTTTCACATTGAAAAAAAATAGCACATTGTAAAAATTGCGCGATTTTTGCTTCGCAAAAGTGATAAAAATATATACATTTATATTATCTCGAAGTACGTATATATTACATTTAAATTTCAATTTTAATGCATATTGCAAAAAAGACTCATTGACGGCAAAGCCAACGCAGTTATTGGAGCGTATAAAATTTATCATTAATTATCATTAACGTTATAAAATTGATCATTAACGGTAATAAATTTTATACGCTCCAATAACCACGTTGAGGCTCTCTATTGGCAATTTATTACTCGAATTTGATTTATATTTCCGAGTTATCTCAATAATTTAAAAAAAAAAAAAAAAAAGAACCACGATTTGTTCTCTCGAAGCGCCCCGGGACCGTCAAATCAGATCCTTTAATTGCTCCGGGTCTCTCCCTCCCTTCCTTTCCCCCGTTGCGGTCCGAAGCACGGTTGGTCAAACGCGGTCGTTCCCGCTCGATTCCAAATGGAATCGTCAAGTCCATAACTACGCGCATAGTCAACTTTGTTTTGCCTCCGGCGAAACGTAATACCGTAAGATCAACACGGGAGCGACGACGGTATGTATAGCGGAAAGGAGACAATATCGACAGACAGAGAACCGCCCCAAAGTAATCGCGACGTATCGTGGGGCGGGAAACGATTCATTGTGCCGGGACAATTCCGAAACTGGTACGAAACTGATTGTGTCCCGAAGTCGAATGGCCGCGTACTTGGAAACTACCTGGTGGATCGTATACGTTAGTCCACCGCGCGCGCTCGCTGGTGTCCATCTCCTCTTCTCCGAAGACAATTAGTCTCTCTTGTACGGTTTGTAGAACCGTCAACGTTCCCACCGTTTCAATGGGGTGGTTCGAAACAACGCGTCAAGATTATATGCGCGAATCGCCGGACAGACTGTTTGTCGATGTAATTTGTAACCGATGTATATATCTCCGCCAGGATAATACGAAGCGCATTTGAACGATTATGTCGTTATTTTAATCCTCGTGAAGCTGGCGAACGTGTGGAACATACCAATTGACGAACGTTAATTCTTTCAAGTTACGGATAGTCTAGTTAAAAAAAAGAAAAAAAGAATAAAAAAAAAAACTTCCAAATCGTTCAAATCACAAATAAAAGAACGACGTGATGTTTGTTTTGTTGTGCCGGAATTACTAAGTTAAGAAATAGTGTAATAATGAAAGTATTATTGTTACTTCAAGTTACGAAACACGTGTTACTTTTTAATATTAGTTTCGAAACACTTGTTACTTTTTAATATATGTTTAGCTGGCGCAATCTGCTTTCAAAAAGATAAGTAGTTAAGCACGTATTGCTTGATCAGCAGGAGTTACAGATTTGTCTCCGCGTGCTGATCAAGCAGAGTTGAACGGGTGGTGCAACAT